ACTTCAAAGGATATCATCTAAAACAACCTGCAACCATGCCTTTGTAAATTTAATAAATTATGCAAGCAGCAAAATATTTTCCCTCGGCTTCGAATAGTCGCCATTTCCTTTAGACGATCCAGCATTGGAGGAGGCAGAGACCTATTTATGGGTCAATGCAAAGATAATAAAAACTAAAGTGTAGAAGGATGCCTCCCTGAGGAATAATACTTCAGAAGGGCTGGTTGATTCGCGAACCAGGCTAATGTTAGCTTCGCTGACAAACTAAGTTGACTAAAGCATGCATTTCATTGGTACACGCAGGGATTAGACGAAACCATTTTTGTAGAAAGACCACATTTTTGTTGGTGGCACCCCTCCTGTCAAAAATGACTCAGTAATACGTGGGGTTAGAATTTGAGGGGCATACTTTCTTGAAAACAATAGCAAGTTTTAAGACATCTAATGGACGATCCGAAAATTTCTGCTTTTGATCAATAACAAATTAATAAAATACTTTATTCCAGTCTGCTTCAAACGGGCGTAAAGATAAGGAAAGTATTTATAAATATGAGATCATTGGCGTCATTCACTTGGATTGTTTGCAGTCGATACGATTGGATGGTTCCTCAGGATGATATCACAACAGTGAAATTTGGCTGTCTGCGTATCGTCAAAATAGACTTCATTTTGTATGGTGCAACTTTCTAAAAGTTGTTACGGTGAATTAGCGTGCACTGTGTTAGCAAAGCATAGAAGTTTTACACTTAGTGTTCTTTAAAATGAACAGAACTGACAAAAATTAATTTTAATTCCATTAATTTGCAAAAGAAGATCTTCAAGTGATTTGTGACCAAAGTACGGCTTTTTGCGTTTATTTGTAAAAACTGCGGAAATTCACTGCAGTTTTAGTAAGACCACACGCTCCGGCTCTTAGTATTTGACAAAATCTTGGTGGTCTTTTAAGTTAAGCCTCCTAAGTTTTGAAACAACTCACGTTTCGTTACTTAGTCCAACATCTGAAAAAATTCATAAACCATAGTTGTTCGCCAAACCGTCACATTATACGCACTATAATTTCTATAATTTGTCTTTACTGACTCCGCATTTGATCGTAAAGCCAAACTGAATAAGTCAATGAAGTATGTAGGAAGCGACGGATTTGCAAACCTTTGCACCTTTAACAGATTTGTTTATATTTTAGGGCATGGGCAAAGGCTTTTTGAAATAAAACGGTTTTTGAGTTAGTTTAATCCAGGTCTACACTGACCAAAGGCAATCCCCTGGTTATATTTAAGAACTTACCCATCCTCCGTAGGCCATACGGTCTTCAAAAACAAATGCAGTAGACGTGGTAACTCATGAAATGTTGACCGAAACTCTGAAATACGTTTTCGATTCGAAAAGGATCCTTGAGTAGTGTTTTAGTTTTAATTAGCGTTCAACATACTCCTAAGATATTTATTTAACTCGGGATGCGGGCTTTTAACTTCCTTTCGGACGCTAAATGCTGCAAAAATGACTGCTTAAATGGCATGACTTTCTCTCACTGATTTTCGATGCTCTCATGAATTCAAATATATTTTATAGAAAACATATGCAAGATGCGAAGGTAAATATACCGAAGTTAATATAAAATATATTCACTTTTTACTGATATGGCGAGAAAAAATGCGTCTTCTTTAAGTTTTATGCTTGAAAGGTAGATGTAACTTCGTTTTAAGAAAGTTTTTGTTTGTGAGATTTTTAAGACTGTGAAAGGACCGCTCAGAAAACATCATGTCTCTGCATTTGCTACTGTTGCTTGTGAACTTTGAGATATGGTTCAAATTCACTGTTACATTCCATGAAATACATATGATCTCTTCTGCATATCGTACAGAAATGTATGATTTTTCACATGCGTAAAATACGCAGCCTGTAGCTTTGAGACCCTGAATGCACGTATAGCGGCAAGTCGGGTTCAGTAGTATTAAGGTATTGGAAACTTTTTTTAAAACCGAATTAAACCTTTCATTAAAGCATAAAGTTTTATAAAGACGTAATTTTCTGCCATACAAGTAACGGGGTGGATTTTTGCTTGAAAGAAATCACCTAACAATTAGAGCAAGATAAAACGACGATGTGGTTTGGTTCAGACGTCATTCGCTATCACAAAATGCGCAATTTCGCTCTTGAATTGCAACAAAGACAATCAATAAGAGCATTTGTTTGTGTGATATTTTTATGAACATACAGAACAAACGACCATGTGGCCAGCTCGAACTTCGAAACGTAATTAATAACGTTCATAGAAGTTTTAAATGATAAGTTTTCCACCAATAAAATGTTTTTGACGCTTTATCGTTTTCAGCCAGTGACCAACTAAATAACAAGAAGTAAGAAAGAATTAGAAATCGAAGTCGTGTTCATTGAAGCAATCCACCTGTCGTTGGCCAGCAAGTGGCCAGGTATATGGGGCCATGAGACCGAGCATGCATAAATAAAGCTGACAATGCTGCCAGAAATATTTCCCCCAAATGACTTGTTTATCTGCACAATCCCCAACCATTAATTTTTCTCGTTATACATACATTTCATATGCCTCTTGACAGGTATCCAGATATTCATTGTATCCGGAACTCCAAATGCCCGCTTTCATCGAAGCATACGAAAATGCCAAAAAACCAATTCGGGTGTCCGAAAGCCAAATCATCGACTATTTGTAACATTTAGGAACACGGCGCGCTCAACGCGAGGGATCTGAAATAGCTTCTTAAATTAACCTGACTACCAGTCGCGGTGACTGCATAAACTGTGTTTTATGCTTGGCGATGATTGGCCACCAAAGCAGCAGACACTTTGGAGTTCGGCAGCAATTTTCTCGCCAAAAAGTCTCCTAATTTTCCCCCTCCCAGACTGCAGAGCCAGTAAAATGGCTACACTACGTCTTCATTGATCATATTTGTGCCTTGCACAGGTAGACACACACGCAAACGCACGTTCACATGCCCATTGACAATGTCTCGGCTGATTCCACCCAAGACGTTTGTTCGGTCGGGGGCGTCAGTTCCTGCCTGGGGTGATGCAGGTTCTGCTGCGTCATCGACGGACGTCCGGCCAGCAGAGGATGCGGCCGGCAGCCCAGGTGCTACGGGCAAATATGTTGGTTGAACAGCCGACGTGTGCATCAGGTTAGGAGTACGTTTGGCCTGCTATTAGCCAGCCTACCTCCATGAAATCCTTTAATATGAACACATTAATGTAAGGTGATACCATACTAGCAGCACGAGTACTAGCTAAAAGCCCAGACAGGCGTGTTTCGCCAATATTCTGCCGCTGCATGGCGCAGCTGCGAGGGGTTTGGCTCGTCAGTGGGTTCCCCAGCGTTTCCCGTCTGTCTTATTGTAAATGCTCCCATTTATCCTCCGAAATATAGGGGAGCGCACTGCAAAGCCCACCATGGCAACTGCAGAAAAGAAGGACTTGTTTATAAGACTGCCTTTTCAAGGGGACGCAGCAAGTGACCTAGTAGGAAGACGTCTGAAGACAGCGATCACTAGAGGTAAAGACCGACTCCCGTTGTAGGCCACATCAATGTGTATTTATTCATTCACTTGCTCCTGTGGAGCGGGATACAGTGGCCGTACAACGAGGAGTCTGGAAAAGAGAGTAAGTGAACCCATACCGGCCTGGCTAGGCAGAGGTGAAAAGAAATCGATCTCGAGTTCTATTCTCGCACATCTTGTCGATACGAATCACTGAGTCGATGCCAAAGAAGCCTTTCAGGTTGTCTACCGGACACTAGCAAGCTTCCAGAGGCCTACGCCAACGGGTGCTACCTACAGCCGAGGCAGGAACCATACGGCTAGTCAATCCAGGGCTATGCTGTCAGAAGACTCTGATACAGGCGCTCTGTCTTCCGTGGCCAACGCCGACCCCAACGTCGTCCCAACCTGCTGATGACAGGGTGTGTGCACAACGTACTCACAGCCTATGTCCCCCTCTCCCTCGTCCCCTTGACCCAATAACCACGACACGCCGACAACGCCATAGCACGCCTCGTCCTGCGATTGGCGTGGGGACGATGAATGGCGTGAGAACGAGGGATGTTAACTGTCCCTGAATCACTTACAAACCATATAACTTCGCATAACTTAAACTTCTATGTAATCGTTTTGGATTGACGAAGATTTGCCGAAAACACGTGTTTGCCACATCGGCTTTTCAATATCGTTAGGAATGAACTACGAACTTGGATTAGTTCAGTTTATTTAAGGTCTGTAGGCTCAGACCGAAAATTCAATGTATGAATATTTGGGCCGAAGTCCATCAGCCACAGCGGGTAACCGTGTAATATTCACCAAATGCCGACAGGCAGCTAGTAGAATACTTTAGGGTTTGATGATACCATACTAATGACACAGGTACCAGCCAAGGCGCCGCGCTACCTTCGACTACAACTAAAACGGCCTTCTCATATTAGTTAGCATTCCTGCCCGTAAACTGTCCTTCCCCTATAGAAGACGAAAAATGTCTACATCTCGATATAAGCGAACGATTTGTCTTATCAAAATTAGACGAAATTGGTGAATCTGCCCTAATTATCAGAGTCTTTGTCCCAAGTGAATTTCTCGCAAAAATGAAGCAGACGAAACAGAGAATCTAAGTGCGATTGATGGAACTATCTACTGAAATTTATTATCAGGTCACACTGCATGCGTACATTCCCCAAATCGTAACATTTGTAAATTCAGTGAAAATTACACCTCTAAACATACTCAGCATACAGAATGGTGTTTCAGGATCCACAAACACACGTGAAATTGAAAGGTGGACAGCCATGTTAGCAAAAATGTCTAATTGTCATCTGCACTTCGGCGCCGGTCTGTAGGGTCTGCTGATTGGGGCCTCATGCAAAGTGGAGCGCCGGTGTTCTTTGCCGCGCACAGGGCAGTAAGATGGGCTCAACTGCCAGGCAATTTCTCTCAGGATCAATTCGATTATAGAAATTCCGCTTTAGCACATATTTGTGGAAGCCAATGCGATCTGATGATGATGATGCTGCTGCTGATGATGATGAAGATGTTGATGATGCTGCTGATGATGATGATGATGATGATGATGATGATGATGATGATGATGATGATGATGATGATGATGATGATGATGATGATGATGATGATGATGATGATGATGATGATGATGATGATGATGATGATGATGATGATGATGATGATGATGATGATGATTATGATGATGATGATGATGATGATGATGATGATGATGATGATGATGATGATGATGATGATGATGCGGAAGGTAGTGTGGAAATTCAGGGACCTGTATGAGGAAGCGATGTGGACGTCGGGACAGACAAATGGGCTTATCCAAGTAAATATTCAATTGAAACATTTTCACTGAGGCGCTTTTTGGGAATTGTGAGTGACTTAAAACAAAATGGTAACATATGACTGCATTACAAGCCACCAGAGATTGTATGTCAATAGATATTACCCCCAGCGCGTCGTGGAGTCGATTATTCTTTGTTTTGTCTGATCACAGCGGCACTCACCAAGTGCCCCATCACTAGTTCAGCAGGATTGAAGTGTAGATTTTAGCATATTATTGATCCAGACGCCTGAACCTGAGATGGGAGACGCACGTGAGCGACAACTAAATCTGGAAAAAAATATTAGCTTTCATGAGGTTAACGCAAATTTAAGGGGCAAAACAATAATTTGTTTTCCTTTACGACACGTGCATGGCACTTATTCGCTGCCAACAATCTGATAAACAAGGTTCAGATTTGGGGGTTTGCCAGAAGGCAAACGGTTTCAACCCTCCAACAGCACACAAGCTGTGTATGCATCGTCAGTACTCAAGTAAACTAATCTCCCTGCGAAAGTACGGTAGCTGGCACATCAGTTTTAATGCTAGCGGAAATTCTTAAGTGTGTTGTCAGGCAGAAAGGACTCCATGGTGGGGTTGTTGTATTGATTACCACGCAGCAAAATGCAAAGATAATTCCGTCAAGTTAAATTTCCGTCTTTTGATTGAGTTCCTTTGTGACCGTATGCAAAGTCCACATTCAGTGAAAGAGTTATATGCGACAGGTATGCATGGTACGTGCACATTTTTCCTCCATTTTTATGCTGCCTATGGTTTTTAAGGACTTTTTTAATTTGCAAACAATTTCTAACCTAACTCGCGCTTGCAGCTGCTTTCAGAGTCTCAGAACCACATGTTGTAAATGTCCCGTGTAACGAAAATCATGCAGCTTGCTCTAAGCCACTAGGATGCTGCCACATACGGCAAACAATTGGCCTTAAAAGCAGTTTTCATAAAAGGACAAGTAAATGGCTGTATCAGTGGATGTTTCACTTCTCTAAAAAATCGAATGATGATAGATTTTTAAGATTGAAAGCTACGTCTCTTTTAAGTAGAAAATTAAAGAAGATGTTACTTGCTACAAAATAAGTGCATGAGAGGATAGTTATATGCACGTCTCCAATATTACCTATACGAATTAGCATAGGGATAAAAATCCAATTAGAAAATTGCCCTACTTACGTGGTCATTGCGCAGTGGGTGTGGCTTTGCACATCTAAAAGTTGGAATATAAGCGTAACTAAATCGACGACAAAAGTCAATGCAACATTTGCTAACATTTTCTTATCTAAAATATGAAATCGACCAAGAGGGGGGGGTAAGGAGACGTAATATTATTCCGCCTGTATCATGCGCCGCTGTGTCGATGCTGGCTGGGCTCGAAATAAAACCGTAAGGCACATCTGGGGGAGGAAGTTCTTTAAAAGCGATCGGTGAGCACCCCTCTAGCAATAAACCAAGAAGTTCTTTCGTTTCTGGCCACGCGTGCTACTCTTTTCCCACTACGAGTTATGAGCTTAGAAATAATGGTTTTCTATTCCTGTTGGCTGGATGAGACAGAGATTTGATAAATATGTCTGACTAATGCTTTCACAGGGTCGAAATAACCTTAAGCAGCAAGTGCATTGACGGTTTGTAGTTTTAGTGGTAGATTCCTATGACCAGAGCCAAACACCTGGTCAGAAGTTTCTTTTACTTTGTTTTGTTATTGGATGTGTCTACTGCTAGATAAGCAAGTAGCCCTTTTTAATAATCTAAAATGTCGACACTTGAAATCATTTTATAACCCGTATTCATCTAGCAAAGGTGCCTTTTAGATTAGTTATCATCAGGACTCACAATAATGTACACCACGGCAGTGCAACACGTGTCGACCAACAGCCAATTCATTATTAAGACAAAGGCCTTTGAGGGTGTCTTGGCATGTCCAGAGAAACGGAGAGGAATTATGACCCAGTTCTGTCGTCGAGGCAGGTAGAGGGGAATGTGCCAGTGGGTGATGTGTGTGTTTTATTGACGCATCAAGAATAATAGGATGCAGGTAAGAATATGAGGAGCTCAACGTGGGCAACCCAGGGGCTTGAATAAATATCTTCTGCGGCCACAGGGTGTTTTGGCTGATCATCTTGTCACCGCATTTGCCATCGGAAGAGGCAACTGGCTCAGGACTGTAAAGTCTCCGGTCTTTACTTTGTGATGACTCTTTATGCTCGGTTAAAGTCCACCTGATGACCGCTAAACCACAACTGCGCTAAGGATGGGTTTTTCCATGTGCTGATTTTGCCTGCAAGGTGAAGAGAGCTGAATGCTTGAAAAAAGGAGATTTATTTCAAACGCTAGATGGGGTGCACAATAGCGTTAATCGGGTACTTAAGTCTTGATTTGCTTGTCCCAGTGAGCATAAGAGATTCGATTTCTTGTTAAATAAGGAAACATAGGTTTTTAGGTTTCATACGGCGTTGGAAGTTTGACTTCCACGCCTTCAGTTTGGTAATCAGTTTGAGCTGACTTTCTGAACTTAGATCCTTCAGTCCAGATTTATTGTAATTTCGAAGCCTTCTCTACTTTGACAATTAGGACAAAACCAGGACCCTTGTCGCGTCTAGCGACAAGTACTTTTTTCGATTTTTTAGGAGGTTTCTGATGCCATGGTTCATTTCTGCTGTTCTAGAGTGTATGAGCACAGAAATAATGGTATTTTTTCCTACAACTAGGCTGGAGGATGGATAAAGTTGCCGATTTCGACTGAATACCGTTTTCATGTAGCTGAAATAATCTTTAACAGCAAGAAAACATCGATGGTCTGAAGATTTGTCAGCAGTTCGAGCACGGCTCACACGATCGCTGTCAAAAGTACAAATGAACATTATATTCCAACTATTATTTTAAAGCAGCTGTCTACTCCCGAAGAAAAAAGTAGGCATTTTGTTCATATGCAAACTCTTCCATTTTAGAGATCGCTGAATAACCTGCATTCCTTTAACATGGGCTTTTTTACTCCGCAATTTTCAGAGAAACGTTTTATACTTCTTAACTGCCGTTCATAAGAAAGTTTGGGTTACGCCCGTCTGTCTCACTCAATCCGGCTTCGTCTTATCGTGAAGACAGAGTTAGCGCAACCGGCCCCGGTGCCTTGTGTTACTGCTCTCCACACGATAGTTTGTCCGTCACACGCAAACAAGCGAAGTATAATTTCACGCCAATCCTGTCCTTGAAATCCTATCATAATGAAATGACAATTAATGCAGTAACCCTCCGTAAGAAATCTTTTTGAATCGAAGACGTACTTTAGGATCTCAGTTAACATTTCATGAGACAGCAGGTCCACTAGATGAAACAGTAGCTTGCGATTTCAAAAAGTTTCCAATTACGGTATTTTTAAAACCACGAAATGACCAATCGTATAGCACCGAATCGGCAGCTTTAGTAATCCCACCTTTAAAGTGGACGATGTGATCCGCATCTGCTACAAAATTGTACGAACCGTATATTTCTTTTTTATAATGGCATCTGCAAATGTATGATGTCCCTTACTCGAAAAACAATGTAGCTTGTACTTTGTAAACACTGGACGTACGTTTGACAACAGGTCGAGTTTTTCAATAATAAGCGAATTGAGAAAGCTTTTTAAAACTGAAAGACACTGTTTCTTCAAGTATAAAAGTCGAAAAGACGCCATTGGCTACTAAGTAAGAAAAGGAAAGTGTAGTTTGTGCATGTTTTCTATGAGATATATATAAATTTATAAGGACGTCGAAAATCAATTGTAAAAAATAAATGCTCCTTAAGTAACCATTTATACTTAGCTATTTTTAGTGAATGTGGTTCAGTCAGGCAGTCGAAAAGAGGCTCATTTGAAAGCCAGCATCATAAAGTGCTTGGAATATCTTGATATTATGCGACACAATGATCAACATGATAATTCTACTTAAGTCATCTTTTTAAATCGAGAGATAATTTCAGAACATCGGTCGAAGTTTCATGAGTTAGCGTATTAACTAACCGTGACTCCATAAGGGCGTATTTAACGCTTTTTGTACCTCACTAATAGTCTTTAACTGACAGACTAAATCAGATGAGGCTTCATGGCCTGCGTCTATCTGCACACCTCATAACCTCCGCGATTTTTCCCATCCCCACTCCCTGCCTTAAAATAAAATATCCTTCTGTGGGAAAGCCATGCAATCGCGCAGGCTAGGTGGACTTATTTGAGCCAGTTTTCCATAGCAGAAAATTCACGCTTCATAGTGGAGTTCAGCAACTATGTGAGGTGGTTCAACAGCTGTATGATGGGAAGTACTGCTCACCCCTCCCCGCCCCCATCGTGGGGGATGAAGGTAGAAAATGTGCCTTAACAAGCCCAGATGAATACGCGTCCGCATGATATGGGGTAGAAAACTGCATCAAACAACAATCCCTGTCCCCATTCCGCAACAGACAGTCTCATCTGGTGATCAGGTGTATGGTCCGCCACAAAGTTGACAGTGTGTCACTTTATGCAGGTTGCTTCTCTGTTCAATGACAACTGGATTAAACTGGCTTCAGTTACAGTGAGTGACCGATCTCATGAAATGTTGGCTGAAATTCTGAAATGCGTTTTCGATTAGGAAGGATTTCTTGGTTGCGGTTGTAATAATGATTATCTTGCGGCATACTCTTATAACATTTCGGACTCGGCAGGATGTCGGCTTTTAAATGCACTTCTTTCCAATCTCCTGTAGAAAGCGTACTGGGTAAAAAATGACTACTTAGGTGGCATGGATTTCTCCCATTGATTTTCGATGGTCGTGCAAATTCAAACATATTTTATAGAAACCATAAACAAAAATATGCTTTCTTTTAGTCAATGAATAGAGAATCACGTCTTCTTTATATTTTATACTGAAGGAAGGAGTATAAATAGGTTTTTAAAAAGTTTTCTAATTGCCGAATAATTTTGAGCCTGATCATTCGCTGCATTAGCGCTTAGTGATTCCAGTCTACAAGGTGCATGCGTTCCACGTAAAGAAAATCAGATATTTTTCTATGCCATTAAAGAGATATTATACAGAGTCCATAAAATGTTGCAATGGATGCGGACCATGTTGCACATTTCATGAGGAGCAGTGGTAAACGACCAGGTACGATGCTGTGTGAATGGACATTTCGCGGTCTTAAAAAGTCTCATAATTAAAAGCTTTTTTAAAACCTAATTATACCCCGTCCTTAAGTATAAAATATAAAGAAGGCGTGATTCTCTATTCATTGACTAAAAGAAAGCATATTTTTGTTTATGGTTTCTATAAAATATGTTTGAATTTGCACGACCATCGAAAATCAATGGGAGAAATCCATGCCACCTAAGTAGTCATTTTTTTTTCCCAGTACGCTTTCTACAGGAGATTGGAAAGAAGTGCATTTAAAAGCCGACATCCTGCCGAGTCCGAAATGTTATAAGAGTATGCCGCAAGATAATCACTATTACAACCGCAACCAAGTAATCCTTCCTAATCGAAAACGCATTTCAGAATTTCAGCCAGCATTTCATAAGATCGGTCACTCACTGTACACCTGGAACAAGCATCCAAAGGCAGAGCGAAGAGGGGTCGCAGTCTCCTTTTCTGTCGGACACGATGTCGTGAGACGGTCGCATTGTCTTTCGCACCGCAAATATAGTATTCCTAAGGACAAGAGGCTGCCACTCCGTCCCCGTCAACGTCGACGTTGCCTCCCCCCTTCCTCCTCCTCCTCACCCCAATGACCAGCTTCCGCGGGGTGAAGATTAACTGTTGGCGTACCTGCGCGCCTCCGCGACTGTTTCGAAGACTGACCGCCTTTGGCGACTTCCATAATCGCCTGCGAACTGACCGCGTTGTCTAGGAAAGGGGGTACCAGGTTGTCACGTAATCGTCAGCTGCAGTAACAATCGCCTTCTCCTCCTGTAGTGTTTCGCGGAACACAGACCCCTCCTTATCAACACCCTTGGCCTCCCGATCGGAGGGAAGACGCTTAGGTGCGCATTCGTTCGACACACTATTAGCTGCTGGTCTTTGCTTTTGTTCCCAAGCGTGACCATCGTGGCGGTACCGACAATTAACTTCGCCACCCCAAGTTCTGTATACCAGTCTAAATATGATTTGGGCTGGAGTGATGAGCGACGCCGACAAGGCCGCTTTCGTCTGATTCCCTGACCTAGAGCGGCAGAGACTTGCGGAATTGCTAGATGCCTGGCTCGCTCGCAATGTTGAGAAAATTCAGGAGGACGCAGAAGGCAGTAAGATTAAGAAATGTTTTACAACCATCGAAACAGAGCACTGTTTTCGACCCAAGGGGACTGCGTCAGCCCTCGGCCCATGTGGACCGCCCCTACGGTGAGAGATATCGGTCGTATTGAGGTGCCGAGTTTGACTTAGCAGGGATGTCCAGTTGAGGGATGAGCTAGTCATTTTCTCCCTCCTCCTTTACGGCAGCGCAACAGCTGTCCAGCTGTAAAGCGCCAGGCTCGAGCGCACCGAAATTTACAAATTCGGCAGCCCAAAAGCATACACAATCTCACTGCACTGTCCTCCAAGCTGAGACCATGAGGAAAAGTGTGCAAACACTTTAAGGCTACCATTATTGGCCATATCACATACGTAAATGTGGCCCACAATGTTGTGATAACAGACACCTTTGTCTTTGTCGGTCATAACATTCTGTCTATATCATGCGCTGCTGTGCGGCTGCTGGTTGCGCTCGAGAGAGTCCGTAGGGCGCAACGGAACGAGTGAGTTCCGTAAGAACGATCGATGGGCGCCCCTCTACCAGAGGACTTTTTCTCCACGCATTACAGACATCTGGAGCAGGGACTCTTTTCAGAAACACAATGCAGATTCTGTGAAAGGGCAGACATGATATCTGACGTCCATCAACCGCAAAAGGGGCACCAAGAAATTCAGGATCATTCATTGCACCACATTTGCGCACCTGGAGGAGGTCTTAGATGCGACGAACTAGGATGCACTCTGCGAAATTAGGCGGTATTTCGAACTTTGGAGGCTGTTCAAGCAGTTGTTGAGGAAGATGTCCGACGAAGTTATAGCCGATGAGAAGAAGAAGCGATCGCTGGAACAAGGGCTTTATTCAGCTGACGTTTCGGATTCTCAATTGGATTCATCATCAGAGACGGTGGCAGAGAAGGGTGACTCGTGCACAGGAATTCGCAGTATTTATAGGATGCAGTCGCTATGCTAACGCATGCCTATAGTAATTAACCGCGCTCCCCCTCATCAAGGATGGCTATCCGCTGGTGCGCTAATGGCTTGATAGCCGGCATACAAGTTGTTAATTGCCGAAATGTCATCCCCCGTGTTGGATGCTGGCGTGATGATTGCTCGGCCATCTGGTTCATCGGCTTACACGCTCCCCGAGTGGTCACTTACCTTGGCCAGCCTATGCCCCAGCACGGTAGATAGAGTGGGGTTGTCGTTGCACTTGTTGATAGCCTGAGGTCCCTTGAACCATGACTCAAGCAACTCGCTGTTCACGCGATTATTCCCTCTCGCGAGAATTTCGGTTTCATCGAACTGGAATGTGTGGCTGGGTCTCGTCGAATGAGCCACGACCTGAGGGTTGGCGTCATTTCTCCGTACCGCGATTTCCTGTGCACGAATCACCCTTTTCTGCCGCTGTCTCTGATGATGTATTCGAATGAGAATCCGAAATGTCAGGCTAATAAAGTCCTTGTTCCAGCGATCGCTTCTTCTTCTGATCAACTAGTTCCTGGAACTCACATCTTCGCTTGTATCGGAGTTATAGCACTTGTCGCAGGAAACCGGGTCGTCTCGCAGACATTCGGGATAGCAATGGAGTAGAATAAGACTGCATGCTCCCTCTCATCCTATTCGGCGTCATGTTATCCGCAATGCTGATTTATACTATTTGGGAAAAGAAGCCGGTGAACAATCTCGACTACCGAACTGACGGACAACTACCAAACATTATACGCCTGCACACATTTACTATAATCTTTAAGGCCTGCGTAATTGGCTTCTTGTTCGCGGATGGCCGTAAACTAAACACCACGATGGAGAAAATGCAGCAGTGTGAACCACTGCTCCTAGCTGCTCGAACTCTTATTATGACAATCAGCATAGAAGAATCACTGACCGAATCCAAGTCGACACCAAATCATAACCACAAAACACTGCTTTAATGACAATGAAATGCGCCTCACTCCAGTCAACCTCTTCGCTCACTTTGGGTGCACAGTTTCAAGAACCAGAAAGATGGATAATGAAGTTGCAAGTTTAACTTTCAAAGTCAACCAGTCCTTTCGCAGGTTACAAGGCAGAGTCTGGAATTGTAATGACATCTTCTCCGACGAGGAACTGAGGGTTAACAGGGCCGTTGTACTGGCAACGACCCTGAATGGGGCAGAGACGAGGACTGTCTACAGAGGCGAAGCGAGGAAGCCCGACTGAGCTGCCTCTGGGGAACGCTGAAGGCGAATTTACAGGAGAGGATGCCAGACATCGAGGTCATGGAAAGAATCAGCATCATGGAACTCCACCCATGATGGTAAAGGTACGACTAAAACTAGCTTCTGCCTAGGCGACGCTGCATGTGCTCGCAAGCAAGATGGACAAAAATGTCGATAAATGGACAATCTAACGAACTAGCTCATGAACCTGCATGCATCTCTGAGACCCGGGAAGACCCAGAACGTATCGGCAGAAATTCCGACTTGTCGCATGCACGGGAGCAGTAAGTTAGGTGGTCTACCCTAGGACGGAGGCACGTAAATCTTCGACTCCACAGGGCAACGATGCAAACACCCACCACCTACCGACATTCCCACATTTCCAACTGATAGTCAGGGGACGCTGCCGCCAGTAGTTTCAGCGATCAGGACAGTCACATTCATTAGGTGCCCCCTCCCCTCTCCATCACTCCGAAAAATGTCCTGTTGTATTTCGACAGCAATTTAGCGCGTTGCACACCCAGACGGGCCCTATAGCCTGACCGGTCACTGCCATGCCATTGGTCACAATAGATTTTGGGGAAGAGAAATAATTAAATGTATCACAAGTTTACTTCACCATAAACTGATTCACGCCCAAGTCTCCCCTACGCCCATTTCCTTGAGCAGTAGTGGATGTCAGCTCCTACGGCGATCGAACTAACGCCGCTTACAGGTGTCCAGTTAGAAGGATTAGGGGTTTCTCATCGTGCCCCGATGTATTTTCGTATAAAACAGCTACCTGCTCATGACATTTCACGCGTGTGCTGCGTGCTTTTATCAAATACCGACAACCGTTTCTACTAGATGTTTACGCTAAATTAAATATTTCAATGGATTTTGTACCACTTTAGCGGATTGTCTGTAATGCCTGACTCAGTAATTAAGGAAGAACCAACTGTACAAACTATTTTTTGTCTTTTAACTAAATTCTGCCTTATCGCTTTGTTCTCCATAGGGCCTAATCACATACTTGCATAGACTTTGACCAATGTAGCTTCTTCACACTCGGTTTGCTATCGGATAGCAAAGCCAGACATCATCATGTTTACTTGGTTCACATTAGTAGGCATATTTAATGTCAGAAAACTTATGCGCCTGAACTACTCGTTACAAGTCTAATTTGGTGACTTGGCCAATTAACCCAAGTCGGTAAGGCATCTGAGACGGAAAATATGTCCCTTTATGGACATGCTTGCGTGTTCCCCACTTCTGATTGGTGTATGGCCTATCGATACTCAAAAATAAGCCCAAAACAGACACTTCAGCTCCGTCCTTTTTCTCGGGCTTACCAAATAATTACATTTCTACAGGTAACTATTCGTGCCATCTTCCACAACAAACCATGCCTAAAGTGCGGAGGTATTATTGCCCCATAGGCGTTATTTAGAAGTAAAAGATTTGGGTGAGAGGATTTCCAATACATTATGCGAAGTAAATTGTCCATTGCTTTATTTTCCAGCGTCTTCTGAGAGCCAAAATGAAGCGGCTATTGAGCAGACACACTGATAATCTGCAGGCCCACATCACAAAAGGATTAAAGTAGTCCTTATTTTGCCGGCAAAATTAATGCCATTCGGACGGCATATTGGCATTTTACAAAATATTAGGCGCATTATTTAGCAATACGACACTTGCCTCACCTCTTTAAGTTAATATCTAGTTTCCTAAAACCTACAGAGGTTCCCCAGTAGCTCAGGTGGCAAGACAAGCTGATGTTTCGCTTCTTTCCCAGAGCGAACGGTTCCAAAATAATCATCGTTATCGAGTAAACAATGCTGACTATAAGCAAACTGTAATAAACTTTAGCAGATTCCTCGTTCTTCCTTCGAATACCTTGATCAAAGATACTGCTGAAGTCCTTTTATAGTCATATGCATGATGCACCCACAAACTGCTTACAACTTACAAAACTCTGCTTTGTAACCCGGACGTATGAGCGACCGCATTGTTCTTACTGGTCTGGGTGCATAGTCCATTTTAGTTTACATTGGAGTGAGGTGTGAAATTAAGCCGTTGTCGATAAAATTGAATAGGCGAGCTCCAGGAAGCAGTCAGAATGAAGATACAAATGTTGTGACAAGAACTATGTTAGCCTGACTTTGCGGATTTTCACTCAAAACCATTGTCAGATAGAGTCACAGAAGAGGATAACAGAAAATGCAGTCGACCGGCAACTAGAGGCTTAAAATAGCTGGCAGCCGTCGCGTTTGTCGTCGGGAATCGTTTTTGATGCTGTGATTGCCTGTCGATCCATACCGAAGTTGTCAATTGCCGTGATTTGATCACGTGGTTGATCCCTGGCGTGACTATTACTCGGCAGCTTGGCTGTTGGTCATCCGCGCATTCCCGTGTGCCGACGGAAGGTCGTTGCGTTTGCTGACTGAATGAAGGCGGAAGGACCATGACTCGAGCAGCTCGCTGCGCATGCGGTTTTCAAATGGGATGGTTTTATATTCGCGCTACCAATAACTAGGATTTTTACCTAGCTCTCGGTATACATTTTTAACAGAAATTTTCTGCAGGTCGTTCTCGAGAACTTTCATTTCACAAAATACCGACTTGAATAGGCTCAGAAACTTGTAGGATGCCAGCCACACACATCGAAGAATCCATGGAGCACAAATCAGCGCTTATTTGCATTGTGTCCTGCTATTCGACTTGAACTAATCTTTTTTTAATTAACGAGTAAAATCATATTTATGGCCAATGACAACTGGCTTGTCCCACGCGCCCCAAATGCAGTTTAATGCGTGAAAATGGATTCCAACACTGCTGGGCACGCAGACGTTTCCTTTTGAGGTGCCATGTCGACAGCCGTATTTTTTGCATATTCTTTTCTTTTGCTGAGACTTCCAGCTACAGAAGGCATGTGTTCTGAAGCGATTGCCGCACTCATCGTTAATAGGTCCTTTTGAATTTTTTAACTTGTCCCTCCTACATGGGCAGTCAACGCTTGGCTGTTTAAATTTAAATAGGGCTTCTGTGTTGATCGCTTTTGGTAGTTTTACATCTGTTATGAAAACTAAGCCCAAATGACTTGTTTATGCTCTCACGATCCTTGTCAGATGGTGATATCGACCTGTGGTGCATTGGCTTTTAAGAATCTGGTTTAAAGTCATGTTTAAATGTCATGGTTAACCTTTTGAAGCTTACCGTCTACGCGCTGTTTCCGTTGCGTGTTATACTCCCTACCGCCCTACGAGGCCTAAGAGAAGTGACTATTTGGACAGGTCTACCACTCATATGGCACAAGAAAGTCCACTTTTTTGATAATGAAAGCGGACAAACACTAGGAGTAGGTCAACCATTACAGAGAGCCTGAGACAGAAATCATCCCAGTTTTATTCATTAAGCCCTGGGCTATCAATGCTTTCAGAGAACACTTATGATTGGCTAAAAGCCGGAGCATATACACGAAAACTCCTCTGTAGCAAGCGGCGAAGCCGCCACTGTTCCTTGAGGGCAGTGGCGACCTGCGTGTGTGTGTGATGAATTATGGTGAGGGCGACTTTAACCCACTTCCCCTGCCCTGCTTACAATCTGATGGCATGGCAATGGCAGAACGACTGGAGATGGAGTTGGCGAGGCTTGGTACTGCATTCCCACTTGAGTGAGATCATATGATTGGCTTTCTAAAAAAATTTGGAAGGTGTGAATGCGCTGACTTTACAAATATCACGTATTTACATCTTTCCTGTCATTTTCGTCCAACGAGTGACTGTGCTATGGGTAAGGAATGATTATTCACCGGCCTCAGTAGCTTCAGTTATCAGTTCACACGCGCTTCCCTCCGCGTGGTTCGAGCCCTGCTTGCACTCTCTTCATTATTCTAATCCAGCGAGTGGCCAAGCAGACTTGCTAATTGGTTTGTTCTGACGACGTGGAACTCCGTTGGTTCCACTACAGCGGGCATGCACTGCGAATTACCACGCGGCACCCCCAGTTGTGATCGCGTCTCCCATATCCCAGCGGGTGGCTGTGTCGGGGGTGGAGTTTATGCACGCCATCTTCACTCGCTTCCCTGCGCGTGGTCTGAGCTCTGCGTGAACTCCCCTTCCCTTCCCAATCTGCGCGTCGCACGCACGTGCTGCTCTCCACCCACACTTGATAAGGGCTTAGAATGTGCGTCTTGGGGTTCCATCGAAGAACCACGGAAGGAAGAAGTCAGTAGGACCTGGCACATGTCGGTGAAAGACTGCCTGGTGGATGATCGGGCAGCATTATAGGCCTAATAATAACATTGTCTTTTATCCCCGCCTGGCATCCACACCGTGGTACGACACGACCTATGCGGTTATTGCCTCGGGCGAATGCCTCGTTAGCAATGCCTGTGCATAGTGGATGCCAGCTCGGCCGATTTTCGGCCGTTGACAGGGGCATGCGCGTTCGAGGGACTTTTATTCTCGCATGCTCCCGTTGGCTGGCAGTCGGCGCACAGTGTTTGCCACGGTTGCGCTTCAGGCATGCTGTCAACAATAAATATTGTCTACCGCTGTTACCTGTTTCTGTTCTTCAAAGGCTTCGGATCCAGGGGTTGTGAAGCGTCAGGCTACAGATACCATTTTAGCAGCTATAAAATACTAAGCTCATGATGCAAAGCCCCAGTCTGGCACGAGCCCTTTTTAATACGGAGCTCAGCCAATCAGATTCACCTTTTCTTCCGCATTCATCTTTGTGGCAATTTCCACTTCGTGGGGCTATTTCGAGCCCTTAGGTGTCTCTGAGAGCTCTTAAAATAGTAAGAGAACCGCTCGATGTGTGATCAGTGCAGCGGAGACGACCACCCATGAGCCCACAACAAAATGTATCAGTGTGTAACTTCACTGTAAACAGATAACTTACAGGTGCATAACTTTGAAGCGTCAGTCTACAGATACCATTTTAGCAGCCATAACGTACTAAACCGTGAGTCTTAGTTATTTGCGAAGGTTTAAAAGCCTGGTGAGACCAAAGAGAAATGAATCGGCGTTGGATCTCCCTATGTATCATGTATTAGTGGCAAGTCGACGGCAAATTTCCTGTACATGAGATTAGGCCTACAAACGAACTTGGTACAAAGCCCCAGTCTAACAGGAGTCCTTCTTAATACGAAACTCAGCCAGTCAGACCCACCTATTGTTCCGCATTCATCTTTTTGGCAATTTCCAATTTGTGGGGCTTTTCGCGCCCTCAGGTGGCTCTGAGAGCTCTTAAGATAGTAGAAGAACCGTTTGATGTGTGCTCAGTGCAGCGGTAACGACCACCCATGAGCCACTAACAACATGTATCAGTGTGTGACTTCACTGGAGACAGATAACTTACGGCTGCAGAACTTTCAAAGAACCTTCTTTGAGGCTGTGTCTTTTCTGTTTGAAGTATAGGATAGGTTTAGAATAATGTATATTTAATAAAGGGACTTTTAAACGCCAAATACCCGCACCCAACCCTTGTGGCCCAAGCCCGCTTTCTGTTGGTTAGTGCCAAGGTCGGTTGATTTTTGGCCAAAGAGACGCGGGCTCAAGCCTCAGGGGTCACAAACACCAGGTGTTGGCTGGGACTGGCTGACGACGACTGAAAAGCCGGAAATGGCCATTTCAGACTTCCTTGTCCCTGTCGGAATGCGCTGTGTGACTGCCCACGGGGCCCTAGATTGAACCCCCACGCACAACGGCGCAAGTGGCTCCCCTTCCACGCCCCCCACCACGCTTTTTTCCTATTCGCACTGGCAGCTATACCTTTACTGGAACTTAGAATATAAATCTTTCAACATTTTTCTTAGTTCTGTCGTGTTCTTCAAAAAGACTGCTGCAAGTACACAAAAGTAGTAGGCATTCAGTTTGTCGTGACGCCTATCCGGGTCGGACTACTGACATTGAAAAGTGCATCGAGAACGCAAAGGGCTTCTTTCTGTACATAAGCATACAAGAAAAACCATTCGAGCTGTTAGCAAAGCGAGTTGTCCGAGGGAGGGGGGGTGGCGGCCGAGCTCTCGGAATAGAAGGGCTGCACAGTTTGGAGATCACTGGCGACCTGCTGTCGGATGGTGAGGAGTAAGCGGCCAAAGTGGAATTGCATTATTAGCTACTACTAGGAAATCACGATCCAGAAGCGCGGGGTGGTTGCCTCTTGGCCAGTTGGGAAGGTCGACTTCAAAGCCAAGTTCCGATGGGCAGATTGTCAACATCGACTGCCTGTATGGTGGAACGAATTCGGGCGAGGATGTTAGAGAACCTGTCCGCCCCCATGTAGTCGATTTCACCCCTCTCCCACGCGTACATTTTCCATTCCGGCGGTGGTGGTCGTGGTCTGTGTCGTTCGCAGAGGTGTGCTGTCTCCTCTCGATTCTACGAGGAAGTGCAGGAGAGAAGATTTTAGAAGCCGTGAAATGTTTAAAGTCCGTGCTTACGAAAACGTACCTATCTGCCTCAAGGGCATTTGGCGGTCTCAGTTCACAATTCCTTTGTAATGCAAGGTTTTGGAGGAGAACGGTACTCGTTTTGTCTAATTTGTAAAAGCCGCAAAGATGAATAGCATTCGTCTATTCAAGTAATAAAGAACGCCTATTGTTTCATTGAATGCCCTGGAAATTTATAGACGGGGAATTTGTCAAGGCGCAAAACGCTTCATAGATTATCAGTATCAAAATAGGACGCAGACAACGCACTCATAAGATTTCTCACAGATTCTCAGCGTTGCATAATTGGCCTCCTGCACTCAGTAACGCGATAGTGGAAAGTGATAATGGGTAACGACTAACGTCTGCCAGTAACTGGCAGCGACCGTAACACTGGTTCCCGTATTTGGCTTATGTTATTACTGGGGTCCTGTTTATATATGCGTGGGTAGTCTTCCGAGTTATGTGAAACTAAACTCACTCGAGCAGACGGTAGTTAACCACAGTCCCAATAGGGGTTTATGATAGGGTTCTGGCGTCTTGTCTTATTTCTCTATTTCCGTTGTTTCGCCTTATTCTTATTTGCGTCCTCCATTAAGGACTTTGCGTAAGTTGGTAGGAAAAATAAACTCGAATCCGTAATTTCTCTCAGGAGGTGGCCAAGAGAAAAAAAAGGAATGCACACGGAAATAAGTGCTTTTTTGCGCACTATTTCAGCTGGTCTGCGACTAAGTTTCAGAGAGGTACCTATTTCCGCGTTCTTACCCTAACCATAAGCCTAACTATACGCATAACCCTGTTTCGAACCCTAATCCTAACTATAATGGTAGGGTCGCTGAACGATCGTTCTTACGAAACTCACTCGTTCCGTTGTGCCTTATGGACTCTCTCTCGAGCCCAACCAGCAGCCGCACAGTGGCGCATGATGTAGGCAGTATGTTATTACCGACAAAGACAAGGGAGACTGGGATGGCCACTTCTGGCTTATAAGCCGTCGTCAGCCAGTCATACCCAACGCCGAAGTGTGCAACATCCGAGATTCGAACTCGCGACCTGTTAGTTAAATGTCCACACCTCTAACCACTGGATCACGAGCCCGTTGCCCTGTCGGTTTCGATCGGGAATATATACAATGGTAGGGGACGTTCAACTATCGTTCTTACCTAACTCACTCGTTCCGTTGTGTCTTACGGGCTCTCTCTCGAGCCCAACCAGCAGCCGCACAGCGGCGCATGATATAGACAGCATGGCATTACTGACAAAGACGAGGGAGACTGGAATGGCCATTTCTGGCTTTTTAGTCATCATCAGCCAGTCATACCCAACACCGAAGTGTGGAACACCCGTGTGGTTAGAAGTCTGCATTTCTAACTAACAGGTCACGAATTTGAGCCTCGGGTGTTCCACACTTCGGGGCTGGGTATGACTGACTGGTGACGGCTGATAAGCCGAAAGTGCCCATTCCAGTCTCCCTCGTCTTTGTCGGTAAAAACATACTGCCTAGCTATACTGCCCGGGAATTTAGCGCAAGACCACCTGCAGTACACTGGGTCCGGACTCCGTTGTCCTACCAAAAAATGTATATAACCGCTGGTGGTAGATTTCCCAAATTTCTCTGACGCTTTCTAAGTTATTACCTTGGCAAAGAAATTACTTAACAAAGTCAGTATTTTTTAAAAGTTATTTTCGGTCAGAATCATTTACATGCTACTCCTCCCTCCCCATACAGGACACGGGAGTAGGAACACCTCACCCCGGTACTGCAGGTGGTCTTTTGCTAAATTCCAGAAATGGTTCCTATTGAAGACGAAGGTTCGAGTTCCAGGTGTATATATAAATGAAGAAGGATGGTCGAGCACCGGAACACCCATCCTACCAAACTTGGTCCGCGAAGTCTTGCGCAAGAGACTTGAGGAGGCGCACGACGAGACTCAGAATGCTCTCGAAATTGAACACCTCATACGGTTGTTTAAATTCTGCCAGCAAACTTTCTCTACTTTTGCTGGAGAAAGCTATGAACAAATCTAGGGAATTCCAAAGGGCTCATTGGTCTCCGGATTGGTAGCAGAGCTGGTCCTACAGGAGTTAGAAAAGATTGCCTTCATCCGACATGAGCCAGTAGTTTGGCGTCGTTACGTAGACGACACGTTTGTTATCGTAAAGAAGGACATGTTACAACACGTCCATAACCTACTCAACGCAGTCTTCCCTGATATACAATTCACGAAGGAAGAAGAACAGGAACAGCAGTTGTCTTTCCTGGATGTTCACGACAGACGGAACCTTAACGATGAATTTCAAACGATGGTTTTTAGGAAGGCAACGAACATCACACAGCTTCTCAGTTTTCACAGTAACCATCCGGTGGCACACAAACGAAGCAGTGTGAAGGCGCTCTTCAAACAGATCCAAACTTATTGCAGCAAACCGTAGGAACGAGCATGTGAGGCCCGCTATCTCCGCGACCAGTTTATGCTAAATGGCTATCCGAAGTCATTCATAAGTCGCGATCGCGTCCAGAGGACCGCCATATGGTATTTTCCGTCATACATCAAGCACATTACAGTAGCAACCGAGCGCATTGCTGTGGAACTAGGTGTTGGAATTGCACACCACCCCAAAGCCACCATGCGCAGTAAGATCATGAAAATCAAAGACCGGTTAAAGTCTAAGGAGCAATCTGGAGTAGTGTGTCGCATCCCGTGCCAAAACTGTCCTTATAACTACCCAGGCCAGACTGGATGCAAGCTCGGATCACGCATACAGGAACATAAGCTGGCTCTCCGACGAGACGACGCACTATCACAAGTGGCCGCCCGCACCAACGAAACGGGTCATGAGCTTAACGTCGCAGCCACCAAAATAGTCGTCCACGCCGGAAACAAACAAGCCGAGAATTGATTAAATTCTGGGTCTCGGACGAGACTCAGTCAATCGATTTATTGATCTGGCATCGGCGCAGTCAGTCGATGATTGGCTTACATACCGTTTAACTATGTTTTGTTCTGTTGCTGGCCTCTTGCACGAGTTTTTCTTCTTCTTTTTCTTCTTCTTCGTCTTCTTCTCCTTCTTAACTTATGATGCCTATTCTCTTTTTCTTACCCAAACGCCAGTCCAAAACACAAAGGCGACCCTAATTCTTGCCCGGGCTGAACCATTACTTTAAGACTAAGCTTAAGATTAACCCTAGTTACTCTCAAATTTAGCGCACAACCAGATGTAGTACGGGATGCCTGTTCCCGCGTCCTACCGGTGGGCCACAGAAATGATATGACAGTATTTTTTTAAGCTGACGGCGGATTCAGTTAAGTGAACTTAGCTCAACTGCCATCTTACAAAAACTCGTCTCTTTTTCGAATTCTTATTGTCCACCACTAGTCCACCAGATGATAGTTATGCATATGACACAGAGCAGCACATTGCGTACTTACCATCTGCGGAATGCTGCGGCTCGGCTTCATCCCCTGTGAATTCAAGGACCCAATACTTTTCTTGATGCGACCCGATGGCGCTTCCCGTTTTGCATGAGTATCTGACTCCGGACTTATCAAAGACTCATTTTCACGCCAACCGTCACCCTCTGGACCGGCTGCTTCAACAGCTGCTGCAGGTGACTTTTCTCCCCTGTCCAGTCGGGGAAAAATGGGGCCTGGTGATGACGCAGGTATTGGTTGTCTTGTGTCCTCATTCGTCCTTGTTTTCTTCCGCCCACTAGCTTCCTGTGTAACATCGAGTTTCGGGAAAGTGGCTGTATGCTTGGTCTCGCCTCTAGTGGATATGGTCATCGTGTCGCCTTTCGAGGAAGTTAATTTGATCGGTCTGGCTGTTTGGACAGGAGAGGGAATTTTTCCGGAAAATGGACTTGCTGTCCTCTCAGTACTCGATTTCCCCTCTTCGGCTATTTTTTCAGGGGAGGATATGTTCATTAAACTGACAACTGGCAAACCTTTTTTCTTAGCCAAAGACGACCTGTCGCCAGCAGCGCCTGTCGCATCAGAAGGAACCGACATTGGAGGCTCAATACCTTCTTGCTGGACTGCCTCAATTGGCTTCTTAACGTCTGGAAGAGTTTTCAGGGTCGGTGGCCTAGGTTTCCCATTCCGTTTTGTACAGGGGTCTTCCAGAATGAGACGCATAAAAGGCGTCTCCTTCGCGACGGCCTCACCAGAGAGCTTCGATTTAGCCGTTCTGGAAGATCGCTTTTTGCCAGTACTTTCTTGCGGTCTCGGTTTCTGAACTTGATGCAACTTGCTATGGGCCACTTTCTGACGGGAGTTAACACGAGGTGCATGCTCCGACCTTTCCAGCCTTTCAGGTTCCACCTTCTTCTCCTGCAATACCTGGCCCTCTGTACTGCTGATGCCGGGGGAGGTCGGCTGAAAGTACTGCAACTTGGCCAATCCCAGGGGGAGCGAGCGCGGACGGATCCTCAGTCGGGTGGCCGACCGAGCCGACAGTGGAAGGATTTCAGGCATCAGGTGTCGGTTGATCGGGTCTATGTAGTGTCGGCTCCACTTCATCTCCCGCAGGCACTCAGAGCAAGTGGTTCGTGGAGCGTAGTAAAGAGGGGTTGTCACCTCTGGTGCTACCGTGGCGACTGTCTCCTCTGTCATCGAGGCCGGCGCCTGCGGTTGACTGTCCGTTGGAGGGTCCGGGTGACAAAGTCTGCACCGAGATTCGTCCTCCGGGACCGGGGGCGCTGTGTTTTGCTCGAGCGCGCTGCTGGGTTGTGCGCGCTCAGAATTCGGCCAGCGGCGGTTCTCTTTCTCCCAATAATGATCACCTTCGCCTTGTCCATGGGAATGTGAGTACTGTTGTTGTTGATGCTGCTGCTGTTGTTGTTGTTGTTCGTGTTGTGGCTGCGGTCTTTGCTCCTGATGCTGCTGCTGCTGCTGCTGCTGTTGTTCATAATGTTGATGATGCATATGGTGATTTTGGTGGTAGTGGTTGTGGTGGTGTTGCGGCTGTTCCTGTTGCTGGTGATGGTGGTGCTGCTGATAGTGTCGGTGGTGTTCCGGCTCCTTGGGGGTGTTATCGGTGACCTGAAACTCGTGATATTCCTTATAGACACCCGTTTGATCTGTGCGCTGGCCGGCATGCATGTCGTATAAGGAGGTATCGTGGAACTCCGGATGGTAGTTTTCTGGCCTATTCCAAAACTCATTCTGTTGGAAGGCTTCTGAATAGTGTTGCGGAGGTGACCAGGGCGAATGCGGTGGTGGAGGGGGAGGTGGAGCGGGAAGAACCGGATCCCAGGTATTTGCAAGAAACTAAAATTTAAATGAAGCAGTTTAGGGAAGTTCATACAGTTTTGTGATGGTAAAAGAATAAATCTGCTGAATTCTGGCAGTAAATCCTTTAATTACTTTTGACAGAATCCTATGCCCTAAAATGAAAAATGTGGTAAATTTGCTGGACCAAAACAGGGCTAAAGGGGAGTCCAGCAGACGTTATTGGAAATGTGTAGCCATAACAAATGTCAACGTTGGGTTTGTGTCGGCAGACCTCGTGGCAAGCGGATACCGTGAAAATTGGGATCTGTGCCGCCCCCTACTTTACTCGTTTTGTAAAATCCTCGTCACTGTAAGTTGTAGACCAGGGGGTGCGGTGACACGCCTAGGTGCGGGTTCTGGTCGTATCAGCCAACTGTGCCCTCCCCTATCTCCTCTCCTCTTGATTCTGTCTTGATTCCGGGTCCAGGTGAGGCGTGAGGAAGAGAGTGTGCGGTAGACGCTGCGCAAGTCTACTATCATTATAAACTAATTCACCCGCAAGCCACCGTGCCTTCTGCACCTTGCTGTGTAGCACACGGTGAACATCGTAGGAATCGATGCTCGAACTGTCATCCTGTAACTTGCAGACACACCATTGGCCCATTTGTTCGTAGGCGCACCCTCAAATGCCGATAGTTCAACCATCGCGAACCATGTTGTCCACCGCATGCCCTACGGAGTGATGGGCCAGGACAGTGATTTGCATTTGAATTTGTTTATAATGGTGGTGGACTTGATTATCACCTTCCCACTGACTCACTTGGGCCGTTGGCCATAGTGAACCATTGCGACCGGAGGTGACGCTAAGTCTATTGGTTTGTCAAAGGGTAATGGACGACAGCGATAGGTGGGCTTGCGCTCCCGCTGGGTATACACGTCGTGTGCATGGTTGCCCAGTCATCCCTGCTCTTCTGCCCAGTTCATTTTGTTGTTTAATATCCTGGTCAAGTGGTTGTTCTGGACCAGAGGTCCTGGACCGGCACAGGAGCTAGATCGGAGGCCAGCAGGCGTTTTCGGAACTGCGCAACCATAACAAATGTCAACATTTGGGGGTGTGGTGGCAGGCCCAGTTGCAGGCTCACGCTGCACCAAATGGGCTCCGGACCAATCCCCATAGTAGTTGTCGTTGTTCAAGTCCTGGTCAAGTGTTCAGTGTAGACCAGGGGGTGTGGTGGTACGCCTCGGTGCGGGTTCATGCTGTGCCAGCCGCCAGCGCCCTCTCCTGCCCTCCGTCTTCTTAACTCTGTCTTGACGCCGGGTCCAGGTGGGACGTGGGGAAGAGGGTGTGCGGTAGACGCTGCGCAAGCCTACTATTTCCATAAAGTAATTCAAACGCAAGTGACCGTGTCTACTCTCACCCTGCAATAGGGCACACGGCGGACATCATCGGTCACGACGACATCCTGCTGACAATGATAAATAACAGCCCCAGACAGTTCACACAAAGTTAGCGAGGAACCTGTGGAAAGGTTTGTTTCGTAGCGTTTTTCTTTCATTCAGATCCGCCGTCTTGGAAGTAAATCCTAAAGCTGACGAGTTCTAAGTGCGAATGGTCCTTCTCTGAGAAAGCAAGGGCGAAAAAGCCTACCTGGTGTACTTGACCCCACAAGGTCAATGTAGATGTGACGACAGTTCGTCAGCACATAAGCCCCTTTTGTGAGGGTACTTAGCGCGCTCAGCCAGTCGGATAGACAAAAGCCGAATAACCGGATTCCCTGCGTCAAATAATTACTGCTGTTGGTTTTAGTTGTAGTAATGACGAACAACGCGTTCAGGTATAAATGAGGAGACTTTTTACTCGTCTGATATGTAGTCTGTCTGCATATCTCCCGCTTGTAGTTGTAACGCACTGAAGACTTCCCTTATCCAAAGGATGAAACTTACTGGCAGACTGCAGTGAGGACCATTTTAGGGCCTGGGATTTGAGGAAAAACATCCGGTAGGATACAGAAATAGGAACTCCTCCGTGATGCACTACATTCCAGGGAGATTAAGTTAGGGTCAAGGTTAGCGTTAATGTCATGGTCGAAGTTAGGATTCACGTTAGGGTTGAAGAGTTCGGGTCAAGGTTTGGGCTAAAGTTTGTGTTAAGGTTAAGATTACGATATGAGAATAGGTACCTACGCGACGGGGAGTTCCTGTTTTCGTGTCTCACCAAATTTTCAATAATTGACAGTGTGAATGCAATAATTTCAGTCTGGCTGACAGAGGAAACCCTTATGTTGTGCTCGAGAGCCCTTCGCCCTCTAACCAACATCCTTGCATACATTAAGACGGCATAGAATGAAGTTTAATAATCAGTGTAACAGGCCCTGCATGTAGGTCTTCTTCCGCAGCAGCTACTGTTTCCGACGTCTTATCTTGCACAACACTTTCTTCAGTCGAGTGGAAGACTGCAACTTTCGGGTGAAGAATTTTCCTAGTAAGATAACCAGGCAAGCCCTGGTTCTTTCAGTGACGTTGATATTCAAATGTTAGAAGCCGCAAAGCCGCAGAGACAAAACAGAATCAGCTGCTTTGGGTATTTCCTGGGTAACATATCCGTGTTTCAGGGCAAGCTGACTTTCGAAAAAACGAACCCCACCGCAGCAGAGTCCCCTTTTCGTTGCAGCTCACGCTGCCTTCTAGACTTTGATCTTCATGAAGTTTTCAGATGACCGCACGCATAAACCGCAGGAGGCCACTTCCCCTGGTATTCATGTCCGACTCTTCTGTCTATTCAGTCATCCAAGTTTAGTGAAATTATCTACATTCCACGTCTGTAAGTTCAAGAATCGCAATACAAGCCTTTGCTCTGAGTTCTACTTAAAATCGATTAGATCGCTCGTTTCTTTTGATGATCTCGCACTTCTTAAAAACCTGAGGCGTGATTTCACTAACTTGCCCGCTGATGAGATAATTGGCCATGTTAAGATGCTCTATGCTAACAAGTATAAGATCAGCATTGACATGCCCGATGATTAAAATGCGAACTGTCAATTAATATATTTCAGCATACTTTATTTACTGTATATTGCCCTGCATTTTGGATTGCAATTGTATGTTGTACAATTATTTGAAAGGGCATTTTATCCTTAACAAGCCTTGAACTTCCACTTGTGTTCCTCAGGCAACTTCCAAACATGAGTGCTAAACAAAGGTCCAGACACGTGTTACGCTGACTTTATGCTGCCTAAGAAGACCCGTTACGAGTCTGCACAAAAATTTCCGATGTAGTTTACGGCACAGACCTTACACTGACAAAGGATGGAGACCGAACTCTAATTTGCAGCAATTTATTAAGTACTCATTGGTCGTTTTCATGAGGGGTGAAGGAATCTTGCATTTTCCTCACAACAAAGAAAATACTCCTCTGTTATCTGTCAAGTGTAGACTTTAACTGTAAATCACACTGGGACATGATGCAAAGAGAATGTCGAAGTTTGTTGTTTCTGAACGTGCTCAGCACTCTCTACGTCGGCTAATTGGCACATTTTGTGAAGAAGAGCTGATTAGAGTTCCGCGTTTTGCTTGTGAAGAAGACAGAGCTGTAGACATCTACTTCAGAGCTTTATCACACTTTACCTTCCTAGTCGAAAGATGCACTTGACTGCTCAGTACTGAGGCCGCGTTCATGCCTAGAGGCGGATATAGTCTCGAGTTTAGGATGACTACAAACATTGCGCTCTGCTCGATGGCGGCCATCGAACCTTAAAACAAGGACTACTAAAAATAGTTATTCTTTTTCCTAACTAACCGATGAACTGGGTTTTATTGTGATTAGCATTCATGAACTGGACACGGGAATATGAATATATACGGTGGTTGACCGACCTCATGAAATGTTGACCGAAATTCTGAAACACGCTTTCGATTAGGAAGGATTGCCTTAGTGAGGTTTTAATACTGATTAATATGCAGCACAATCCGATAGTATTTCGGCCTCGCCAGGATATCGGCCTTGGAATGCAGGTCTTTTTAACCCCCTGCAGGAACTACGCTCGGTAAAAAATGACTACTTAAGTAGCATTCATTCTATACATCTCATAGAAAATTATGTAGAAAAGTATGCTTTTTTGCTCATTTGGTAGACAATCACACTGTCTTCACACTTTATACCCGAAGAAAGTGTATCTTTATGTTTTGAAAACGTTTCCTAGTTCTCGGATAATTTTCGGCTTCATCAGCCGTTGCATTAGTGTATAGCGATTTCAGTCTACAAGGCTTTTTCGTGCGCTTTCGGCGTAGGAAAAATCATATAATCCTTTATCCCTCTAAGAAGATACTATCTAGAGTTCATAAAGTTTTTCAATGGATGCGGATTATGTTATACATTTCATGAGGAGCATTAGTAAACGGATATGCGCCATGCTGTGCGTATGGACATCGCACGGTCTTAGAAATCTCATAAATAGAAACTTTTTAAAACCGAAAGATGACCCCTTCTCAGACTATAAAACGCAAATACAATGTGGTTTTCCATAAAGCTAACAAAAAAATAATATTTTGCGCATGTTTCTATGAAATCTATTTTACTATATAAAACCATCGAAAATTAATGTGAAAAAATGCCTGCTATTTAAGTAGTCATTTTTGCCGAGCGCGGTTCCTGCAGGAGACCGAAAGGAAGTGCACTCAAAGGCCGAACTCCTGGCGAGTACGACGCAGTGTAAGATTATGCTGCACGATAAGGAATATTACAACCCAACCTAAGTAATCTTTCCTAACCGAAAACTAATTTCAGAATTTCGGCCAACATTTCATGAGATCGGTCACCCACTGTATATATGGTCGTACGCAAAATTCCGGGGGGCACCTATCGTTGTGCCCTGAATTTAACCCTAACACTAGCTTCAAATTTACCCCCCCCCCTCCTGGCATTCAGCGAAAGGCCACCTGTACTACGCGGGTCCCTGTTCTCGTGACCTACGGTACTTTCGAATGGAAAAACTCAACACCCAGCACATGGCTAGTGGAGTGGAATCCAGAGTTCACAGGTCAAATTTGGCATATTATACATCTATTACAGACCATGGAATTCTGAGGTCTGGACGCAAAGCTTTCCTTCCAAGCAGAACCGAAAGTTCGGGCCATTATCGTGTAGTTCCTGGCACACTCTCTGTCGGTTGTGAGTATTCTCGTGAAATGGCCCTAAAAATGCTACAAACTTCAGCGGCCATTTGCAAGAAGGAATACCAGCGCACATATCCGAAATGTCCCCTTCGGCAGGCAGACGTTGAGGCCGATTTATTGAAAAGCAGAATGCAATTATACCGGCCGATTATATTAGCTTACGGGTTGACAAAGGTAATGGTAGTGTTTTGGATTATATGATGAAGAATACGATTATTTTGCTTCATGATTGGGATAGAGGTTGGCGTGTTACAGGTCAGTAGCTGTGTTGCTTGACACTTAGATAAACATCACCTAAACATCGCACAGTATATTGGCATTTCTTTTATCATTAATCAGTTCTGGACCTCAAAGTAGTCTGCATGCTGCACTGGTGTGTGGACTGCTTTCCCGCCAGCCACCACACCTGATCTTACTCTTGTCGTCGTCGTAATGCGAACGACTAGAGTGAACCCTCCAGGGTGAATGCATAGTTTTCTGGGCAGGAATGACTTATGTGACCCTTTAAACAGGACATCGCAATAGGCACCGTCTGCAGTACGGGTGGATTTTAGCCAACTTCTAGTGAAATTAAGGTTATATCTAAGGTTATAACTAGGGATAAAGTAGGGGTTAGTGCTAACTGTAGAGTTAAGGTTTAGGGTAGGGTTAGGGCCAAAATTAGGACAACCTTTGGGGTTAGGACATGCGAATATTTTTCCATTTCTGGAATTATGCGCCGGCCCGCCTTTGTTACTTGGGCGGGGTGTCTCTATTCCCATGTCCTGTTTAGGGGGCCACATAAGTCACTCGTACCGTTTACGGAACGTTAAAGCTACTGACGTTAATTAGTGCCGGGCAGATCAGATCCGCCTATTCGCCAGTACCGACTGTTGTTTGGGTACGCGCTCTGTTTGTGAATCACGGAGATGGATGGGCAGGATCATATCGACCCCTCGAGGTACATGCAGCCTTGCCCCGAATTCCAAGGCAGGTAAGGGTTAGTGCTAGGGTCGGGACTAGGTGTTCAATGGGTGTTCACTGGAATTCAACGCGTGGACACCTTTAGTATGAGAGGGGTCAATATTGTTGTGTCAAACCAGATTTCTTGCATTCATCTTGAACTACAACATTGTCTGATTCCTCGTTTTGGGATGGGAGTACGGAAGTAGACAGGCTAGGGGACTAACTCTACCAACATCGTCTGTTCACTGCAAAGTTATGCAACAAACGGTTAAACAACTTTCAAAGGCGAAAGGAAGGTGGTGCTTGGACAGACGGCATTTCCTGCTGGAATGCGGATCATATAAATTCCTACCATATCTTCGCTGAGGACGGGCTTCACAAACTTGAAGAAGACTGCCCACCAAAAAGCCAAAACGCCTGTCTGCTCGGCGGTCGTATATACACTGGCCGCACAGTCAATCATATTCATCGCGTGGATGATGGCTCCATCGTTGGCAGCCATACGATGAACCCAGGGTTTGATCAGTCCGGTGAAGTGGGCCGCCTTCACGAATGAATTGAACTTCTTCCAGGCCGGTGCCCGAGTGTAGAAGATGTTTATGTCGTTCGGCAACACCCAGCAGGAGCAGTTGTAGGCAAAGGGGAGATGATTGGACAGGGTCAACTGGTTCCAGTCGTGAAAGTACTCGTTGAGAAGGCCCTGAGAAGTAGACAAAACTCATGTCAAAGGCTTTATCGCAGCTCTTTGATATGACCACAAAAACTATCGGATATCCAAGGGGTTGGTATCTTTGTGAGGTAGCTGTTTGCTTTCTACTCAAAATGACTCCTTATACTAGGCCTTTTTGGAAGTTTGCGTGGAACCTTTTTGCGTTTAAAATGATCATTAAAGACAAGACAGCTTTCCGGTACTGCCAACTGGCATGCCCTCTTCAAGAAGCTCCCAGAAGACTTGTTTGAAATGTAATTAAATGGAATGTTTTAATTGGATGAGTCCGACGAATGAGGAGCTCGATATAACGCCCATTTTCCCGGCAGGTATTAGCTTGACTACCACGACCAGTTGGCATATTTAAACCTCAAAAAGGTGCATAAATACCGGAAGTGAGAAGCAAACAAACACGTGGCCTTCTTCTGCTGCTGGCAGGTTTTCCCAAGTAGGTCTTTTTACGGCAGCCTTGGCAAGCAAAATGCAGTCATTAGTACAGATATGTGGTTTAGGCTGGAAGCACAAGGCAAGAAAAAGTCGAATACCCACCGGATAAGAGAAGGGCGAGAGAGCAGACAAAAGACAGTTGTTGCTGCCAATCCGTCCCAAATGTTCACATACATCTAACCTTCTAGGCAGTCAAGTGCTTGCGCCTATTTTCCCTCGAGCACACTGAACCGGTCTAAAGTGGCTGAAACGGTTTCAGTGCCTAGGACAGACGAAAATCACTTTCTCTAGCCAGCATTAAAAAAACGACGTCAAACAGACTGAAGTAACAAATGGCTGAGCAAAATAGGGCGCCCAGTGAATACCGCCAGTTTTTTTGACATTGCGCATTCATGAAGTATAACACGTGAGATTTCTTAATAGAAGCGAAGAAGCGAACTACTGAAAGTAGTCGCAAAGGAGGAGACACGATAGCTGAGGTGAGGGCTTTAGTAGTCTAACGTTTCGCGTCCCCATTGGAATCCATCACCAGAGACAAAGTCAGATAAGGATAGTGGGTCGCCCAAGTCTAGCAGCATTTACAGGATTCGACAGTTCGACCGTCGATTTCGACGATGCCCACCATGTGCCCTACAGCGAGGTGGCGCAGAGATGGTGACCTGCGCGTGAATTAGTTTATGATGACAACGGACTTGCGACGCATCTAACGCACTCCATCCTCCTCCCAAACCTGGACCCCGTATCAAGGAATAGTCAAGGAAACCTAAGGCGGGCGAGGGCGCAGATGATTTACAGGATGTATTTACCACAATTGGCCGTTTCCGAGTGCATCAAGGTTCGACTGGCCAGATGTAGCGGTGTGCATTCTGCCCGCAGTTGCTATGCGCCTGCACGCCTGTCAAAATTATCGGATTCCCTGCTCATCGCACTCAGTCGAGGTTTCGTCCTCCTCATGGGCTCTTGGGCAATTTGGCACACCGACATTAACACAAGGAACGCGTGAAATTTCAAGTAAGGCCACTTCTGAGTGATCCCTGAATTGCACAAAATTCTAATAATTTGTCCCCCTACCTATCCTGCAAGGGGAGAGGCTTCAATAATTTTTTGGAATATTTTTGAGCCTTGTCAAAAGATATAACCATAGAGCAAAATTGATTTTAACGGAGGACAACACCGCATCCTGTTTTGTGTTGAACAAATTCCTTCTCCCTTTCGGCTGTCTCCATGACGGTTTTCTGAATGCTGATAGAAGCGAATAGGCGAGTTCCGGGTTGGCAGTTCAGATGATGAAGATGCATCTTTATCTTCTGGTTTTCTGAATCTCCGGAAACATCTCACCGGAAAACAAAACAGCAACACGCATGTTCAAACAGCAGTCCGCACCATAAGAGACGGGAAAAGGAACCTCCTTTCTTGCGTTACGTCGAGTTCTGGGGATATTAATGCTAGGGCTAAGGCTTGGGTTGGGGTTAAGGTAGGATCAGGGTTAAATGCAGAGTTAGGGCTAACGTTGAGACAGGGTTAGGGAAAGGACACGGAAATGGCTACTCCCCTCAGTAAAACACGCGGCCTTGAGCTTAACTAGGGCCAGAGTTACGGTTAGAATAAGGGTTAAAGTTCGGTTAAGGTGGGGCTAGCATAAGGGCACGGAAATAGGTACTCTTCTAAGAAACTGGCCCAAGGCCACCAATATTGACAAGGAGACTCCTATTCTCTTGCCTCGCCACAGCAGTCGTATTAAAACCATGCTGAATATAGCTAAACTCACTGCTTTACGCATATTTCCTCATAAAGCATCAATTTTTAATGTATGTCAGGGCGTGGTAGGCAAATTCAGGCAACTACAGACTATTTTACAGATGGAATAAGAATGATCTCGGACAACCAGTCATGTAGTTGATCATTATTCTCAACATTCTTTAGTATACTCTGAACACTTCAACTCAAGTGTCCCAAAAACATCCAGAACTCTGGGGGGAGGGGTTGTTCAAGAAAGCGAAGGGCATAATTGACTGTAGCAAAAGCCGGGCACGACAACCTTCCAAGCCATGTGATTACAGGCAGATGAGAAAACGTACGATGCTTCGAAGACATAGATTTAGAGGAATAGCTATACCACCGAATAGATAGGTACTTTTGGTTTTCAACCGACATGACGCGAACCCGTTACTGAAGTGGTGAGGGCATTGCTGTGTGGTCAACTGACTCGGATGCGTAATCAGGGATTGCCTTATCACTGGCTGATGACGACAAATAAGTCAAAAATGGGCCTTTTAGCGTCCCCGACTTTGTCGGCAAAACTTCTCCTTTACAGAGTTAACGTACACAGCATCTAACTCACACACACACCTTGGTCCAATGGCAAACATTTAAGGTGATAGGAGAAGTGTGTGGGCGCGATGGTTGACAAAGCCGACCTCCTACAACCTGACCTCTAATTCAACACGCGCCGAACTTCAGTCGGGAGTGCCTCGGAGCTTGCGTGAGTGTACGACACAGGCCACAACAGAAAAGGGGACCACTGCAATCCAACGTTTAGATCTACCTAAGTGCGACTCATCTTGTCAATTGTCGGCACTCCAGGTTACACCTGCTAACGCTTCCTAGTGGTCTCAAACCGTGTTTGTGGTAAGAAACTGAAGTGCTGACTCGGGGCTGGATCAACTTCCCTCCTCCCTCTCCATGCACTTGCTGTATGTCCGAGTCGTTCGGTCTATTCTGAATGCGCATACATACAATGACCGATGTATGCCAGACACAGGTAAGGCAAAAAATTAGGCGTTATCTGGACCACTGTGTGACCCCGTTTCAGGTTAACGCCCTAGCGGCACAGTCCATTTGTGACTGCCATGACAACATGCGCACAAATCAGCAGACAGTTTTCAAAATACGTTCCACCTGTCCACACTGCGACTGCGTATATTAGGCACAGACTGATGCGAAAGGACACCAAAACGACAGTTTGACCTTCGCGAGCGACAACGCCCACCCCCCGCGTGTTCCGCAGAGTAGGACACAGCAACGTTGACTTACGTTTGAATTGGCTCTTAGTGAGACAGACATCTCGCTACATTTGCCGCACTATCTCCTCCCTCTTCCACCTTGCTGTGACGGCAGGACAAACTCAAGATGGCCGGGGGTGGGCTCGGACGCAGTGGCTCCACCTGCGTCAGGCTTTCATGAAGGCAACTCGGATCTCACATCAGCGAGAGGTCATGGTGACCACAGTAAGAAGGAGCCAGTACAGCCTGACCCCCAGTCCTAAGATGGACCGTCCTATCCCGTCAGTTGGTAAACTTTCAAACCCCCACTCATAACACGTCATGATGTACTCAAGTACAGCAAATTCAGTATGGTGAAAAATACGCTCACGTGCTACGAGAACGGATAGCCTAATGTCGGCGTCATTCACCTTCCTGTCTACCAAATGACTGTCCGAACGTGTCAATCCAGCTGCCGATGGTATTGGGCGCAGTGACAAACACAGCGTGAGGACCAACACCTAAGGCCTGCTCTGCGCGCCTCTCCGTTCGCGCAGATTTACCACAGGACAATCTGATCCCGGTTTTGGCCCGGCACATCTACAGCACAGCCGCTTGTGGGGGCCAGAGGACACCAAAACAATGACTATAACCTGAACGACGGTAAGATGTCGAAAGGCCTGCCAGCGGTGGCCTGATCCTTCTGACGTGTGTTCACAGCTAACCTCCTCTAGTCCTGAACGTCCGAAGCCGGGCCAGACTAGTCTCCGGCAGTAACATAATTTGCTACTACAAAAGAACTGCCGTGTTCATTATGTTACTGAAATTAGGGAAAGTAGCGCTGGTAGGGGCACGCAAACCAAATGTGTTCTCACCTGATCACCGCCATCAAAACTGCTCTCTGTGCTTGCTAACTTGAGCAGGCCGGCGTAAGTGGTCAAGCTGGGCTTGAAGACGAAAACTCCGGAATTGAACATGTCCGGCCAGCTTGTATCCGGAGCGGCGGAGAATTCTTCATATTCAAACAGATCATCGATGTTTTGAAGGGCCTGCGAAAACCAAAGTATCCTCATATTAACAAAGTCTCGTCTCCATCTTGGGTGGTCAGTTACGGTGTCAAATGCGTTAATGGTCCATGGGGTTATTAATAGACTTGGAATAGAGTTCAGTAAATAGACTTAAGTGTTTATTTAGCCAAAAGACCGCGTGGTATAGCATTATCGGAAAAGAGAAAAGCGACTGGAATGGCCATTTCTGGCTTACTGGCCGCCATCTCCCAGCCATACCCAACTCCGAGGCATGCGTCGAGGTCCAGCATACCCGGGGGGTTGATACAACTGGTTTTTGACTGCTAGCCAGCCAGAAACGGCCATTCCGGTCACCTTTCTCTGTTTCGGTGATGTTACACCGCCTATACCACGCGCCGCTGTGCTGCTGCTGTTGGCGGGGCTCGAGGGAGACCCCTAAGGCACACCGGGATGTGTGGGATCCGTAACGCAATCTGTGAGCGCCTACTGTATCAATATATATTATCCAAGACATGGTTTGACAGCCCCGACCTGCGCACTTTGTCTTCGGACGGTCCGTTGCAGTGACTAGTTCGATACATCGCACATGGTCAAAAAGAGAGAGGACGGTCGCATACTCTCCCACTGAAGTCCTGTATTCTTGCATTAATGACATTTCACCTTAGAAGGTGGGGGGGAATGTTCGCTTTTGTTTGTTTTCAGATTTCGGAACTGTTCCAATTAAAAATAATATGGTTTCCTCGGTGGGGTATGTTTCCTTTTATTCCTACCCAAAGGAACAACCGGAACAAGCCAAGCCGCCAATGTTTGCTAATTTGTGTGCGGAAGATCACGCAAGCATCAACTTCCAGAGTCTGTAATAAGCACTGAAAAGTTTCTTTTTGTCCTATTACTATGGGGAATTCACACTTACGAAGCACAATGGGCACTTCATGTTCATACTCCCCTCATTGTCTCCTGTTCCTCCCAGATGCCCAAATATGCAGGGCGTCTTATCCTTACAAATTGTGCACTCATAAAAACCTGTTTAAAGTTAATATTGTTGATCCTTTGCATAGCCCAACAGTGTTTCCTATGATAATGGTAGCCCCAGGAGACCAAGTCGGTAAGTTAAGCAGCAATTTTAAAAAAGTGTAATAAATTAGGTTTTAATCCTCTTTGGAGTACGTGAAAAAGAAATCAGGAAGCAGCTGCGAAACTTTCACCGGCTGTGAAAAGACCGAGAGTGAGATAACTGGTTAAACTTATTGCCAATGTCGGGTACCGCTCTGCTAGGAGAGCCAGTCCAAAGCAAACAGTTCTATTTGAATTCCGCTAACGTTTATCATTTTCTTATTGTTCGCTGGCCAAAGTTTGCAGTATCGGGACTGTGATTTATATGGCAGGCTTCGGGTGCCAGGAAAAGGCGTGACACGAAAGCACTTTTGTGCTGAGGCCTGTTTAAATGCAACGGGGGAAATTGTTTTCCGCTCAATCCAGTCAGAAAGATGCGATTCTGGCTGTATAGACTGGTATATATGCAGAGCTCAGACATTTTAACAAGAGAAAAAAAGACAGCTAGCTATCTAGCGGTTTCTAACATTCAGTAAAATACGCCCTTGGCACAAATCACGAATGTTCGCAAAAGAGTGTTCTGTTTGTTAGAAAAAGCGGAATTTGGGATTTCCAGACAAGATAAGTTCGCGCAGCTCGCGTAAATGAGAAGTAAGCATACACTGTTTTTTCTACGAATGTCCTGTTGCTCATAAAACAGATTCGTTTTTGTAGTTCGAGCTGGTTTTAAACGTACTCTTCAGTGTGATATTAGCGGCTTGTTAGTGATGTCATCTATACTATTTACTTAAACAGCGTCCGGACTTTCCCAGTTCCTAAGCATTTAATTCTAAACTGTCAAAACACATCTTTTAAGCTTGCCAAACGCCACATACTTAGAAAGAAACCGCTAGGGGTATATCACGAACGCTTGGCCAATAAGCATCTGATGTAAGTGATGCCTGGTATTCATCCGGTGGATTCTAGATGGCTTACTCAGGAAATCCTGCTTGAGCCGTCAGCTTACTACATCAGATTTGATGGATATCATCCGCTGCAGTAGACTGAACGGGCAGCTTGACCCAGATGTGATTAAACTCCTGTCTCCTGATGGAACCTCGCAGCTTATTTGGTTAGATCGTTGGCTGCACTTAAGCCTCGCCTCGCTGTCGTGGGTTCGAATCCCACCGAAGCCTTGGGTTTTTGGCAAATGTGTCAAAATGAAAACTTTCAGTGTTTTGTGATTAAACAGCATGGCTGCGAGAAAATAGACAACTCCCGACTCCTGCCAGAATTCGTCGCGCTTATACTAACTTACAGCTATCAGCCTGTCAGTCGCAAGAAGTACTCCAGTTTCTTCCTTCCTTTCCCACTAGATAGGCCCATTTTGTCGTCTAAAGAACCGCCCCACTAAGACCGCAGGGCTGAATTCTTGTGCAAAAATGAGACTTGGGCACAGGAATATGGATCTCCCCTGTATTTTGGGTGGTCTCGCCCTACAATGAGTGACCGATCTCACGAAATGCTGGCCGAAATTCTGAAATACGTTGTCAATTTGGAAGGATTACTTAGGTGGAGTTGTAATATTGATTATCGTGTGGTATAATGTAGTAATATTCCGGACTCGGCAGGATGTCGGCTTTTGAATTCACTTCTTTTCGATCTCCTGCAGAAACCACACCCGGTGAAAAATGACTACTAAAGTAGCACGCATTTTTCGCATTTATTTTCGATGGTCATCTAAATTAAGATATATTTTATAAAAAACATGCATCAGAATATGCTTTCGTCTACTTGATTGGTGGGAAACCACGTCGGCCTTACATTTTATGTTTGAAGACAGGGAATGATTAAGTTTTGGAAAAGTTTTTAACTGTGCGATTTTTCAAACCGGGTTATGTACATTCATACAGCATCATACGAGTCCGCTTACCAATGCTCGTTAGGAACTGCATAACATAGTCCGCACTCATTGTAAAATTTCATGAACTCTAAATGGTATCTTCCTAAAGGCATAGAGAAATAAATGATTTTCCACGCGCGGGAAGCATGAGCTAAACGCTAATGCCAAGGCTGAAATGGCTCAAAATTATTCGGGAACTGGAAAATTTTTACAAAACCTAAATATACCCCTCTTCAAACATAAAATTTAAAGCCGACGTGATTTACCACCAATCAAGTAGACGAAAGCATATTCTGATGCATGTTTTCTATAAAATATATCTTAATTTAGATGATCATCGAAACTGAATGCAAAACATGCATGCTAATTAAGTAGTCTTTTTCACCAAGTGTGGTTTCTGCAGGAGATCGAAAGGAAGTGAATTCAAAATCCGACATCCTGCCGAGTCCGAAATATTACTACATTATGCCGCACGATAACCAATGTTACAACTCCGCCTAAGTAATCCTTCCAAATTGAAAACGTATTGCAGAATTTTGGCTAGCATATTTAATGAGATCGGTCACTTCCTGTAAATACAGGGGGGTGAAAGTTAGCGTTAGTGTTAGAATTCAGACGGTGTACTGTTGCCAGGGCAAGGGAGGAGAGAGTTAAGTCGACTCTGGGAACCCATCTCCACGGCACTCAGCGCATAATTTTTGCTATAAGCAAGCCGATGCGATGTTGAACTGTCAAGGTACGCAGAAAGTCATGGTCTGGAAAGCTGCCAACTAAGGGGATAATTCGGTTCTCTTCTCAGGACGGAGGATCAGGCTGCAATGACTTACTTATCTGGCCTTTATGGCACTTTCACTCACCTCAGATCAGAGCAGCCCTCTTCTGGTTTCCTCTGAGAACTTTATTTTTACATGAAACACCAAACCGAGATAATCGTGTCAGATCAAATCCACTTAAATAAGTATCGTAGGTATTCTTTGTATGCCACATATCCTTGGGAGTCTTCACCTGATCCTTACAGTCCTCTCCAGTGCCCTCCCTAGGAACCCAGGGTAGAACAATGTGACCCGCAAATGCACGATCTGTCCCTGTCGAAAACCGAGCAATGAGGCGCTGTTAAAGCCGCAAACGTTTAATGCTGTTGATTCATCGATATGGTCTCGCCTGTCGACCATGCATACTTGCTGTCTTTACGCTTATAAATTTTGTGTTCAATCACAGGATCTGGTTCGTGGCGTTATTGGTCGCAGTCTACATTTAAAAAAACCGAAATTTCATTGCGTTTTTTTCACATTTCTTTTGCCTAATTTCCCTAAACTGGTCCCCTTTTATCGATGCACCAACACGCCTCCGTACTCAGTTCTATCCGTTTTATTTTACCGTAGATGACTCAAAATTTTCCATTTTGCAGAAACAGACGGATGTAGATCAATTTCGGTGTAGATCTTTGAAGAATCTGACAAAACGAAGCTAGATATTCCAACTATAAGTATGGTAGATCCTGCAACATGTGTATTTGACTGTTTGTGTGTTGTCAGGTTATGAAAACGGCGGGATTATCCTTTTGAAGCTAATATACTTCGGCCCAAATATTCATACCAACTCCTGGACTGGGCCCACGAAGTTGCATTCGGAATGACTCACTCGAAATTAGCGCATTAATTTCCTCGGAAATTAATCTGCAACCATGGGGTGATTATTTTTTGACAGACCCTCGCAAGTTAGATTTGAAAGTCAACTCTGCCACTTAAACTGAAAGTCGTCGATTTGCTGACGCACCCGCGAACTATTCCTAATACGCCCGCAAACAGTCAGTAGTGCGTGGATATTGATTGATTTATTGTAGTGCTAGCTAAAAGGCTAGATATGTGGGCTTTGGAATGGAAGACTATCGGCAGTCTTGGGTCGACATATGAGTGCCCAGATGGCGTGATAATGCTTAACGAATTTTGTCCGGTCATTAAGGCTCATTTGTTTGTCTTCCCAACTATACAATGATTCAACAAATAAACCCTTCTGGAAATTGAGTCTCTATGAGCATTTTTTAAGTACAAATGGCAAAAATCATTCACAACATTTGACTTTCCGAAAACACTGTTGTGGACTATACCTACGAGTACTGAATGAGAAAAGCATCTCATGAATCTCAAGACCCAGCCTCGCATAAAATCAAAGAAATGAGATTGAGGGGGGAAATTTCCTATTCAAACATCCAACAGGAAAAGATGTTGGCGCGCAGTCAGTTTGTAAGCAAAATGCCTACGGAAATAAATTCTGACACTGGGCACATTTGTCTTACGTAGACGTAAAAGCAAAATCCGCCCAAACAAGTTGTAGGGTTTTGATGATGACAGTGTTTCTATGCTGTCGCTTTTATCTACAAGACATGTGAAAGCAATCTGAAAGCCAGACGGGACTGTTCTGTAGCACTGTTTGTGCGTGCAAGATCACAGCTGAGCTGAGCCTGTAAAAAGTCATTATGAAGGTGTTGCCCCAGGTTAACGCATTAATGTCTGGGAAGAGTAAAAAGCCGAAATTCCAAAACCGGAGTATCTATTAGAAAATACACAGGGAACGCTGAGGGGTCACGATGATGTGCCGAAGCCCTCGCGGCTGTGTCATGTAGCGGTGGAATATCGCCAAAATGCGTGTCTGGGATTTTAGCTAGTGTTTGTGCTGTCAGTACGGCAAATCATGCAGCATGCGAAACTGGGTGTATCAAAATGTGATGTTTGTTTATATCACTATTTCTGCCATTGTCGAGCCAGCTCGAAACAGCCGTTGGATGTCCTTGTCCCTATCGCGATGCTAGAAATTCTTAGAAGTACTACTATCTGCGACTTACTGTGAAGATTACGCGGTTCTTCAGCTGTGACTGATGTATTTCAGGCCTAATACTCTTATCAACTTTCGGGGGAAAGATGAAACGGCCTCTGTTATTGCATTTATTTAAAGTCCATGCCTTAACTTTGGTGAGAAATTACGGGTTTTTGTTTTCTGCTGTTTCTAAAACTCAAGACATGAGCTTGGAGTAAATTCTTCGGGATACACTTTTCCAGGCTCGGCCAGAAGTTTTATTTATGTATTTGAGCAGAACTCCATCGGAATCTGCGAAATAACCGCACAATACTTACAAACTGTCAGTAGGCAATAGGTAGTATATAAGGGTTGATCGATTGACTCTACTGGAAGCAGGGGGGGTACTGACCAAAAGCCCAGACAAGTGTGTTTGGCTGACTATCCGCAAGCGCGTCCCACATGCACCTTCTGCTGCAAATTCCGGCTTCTAATGTTACGCTTTTTTAATTTCTTGCAAAATCTACGCATGGACCTGGATTCAGTCCCACTTAATTTGCAGCCAGGCGCCGAAGACCGTTCGACTGACCATTAGCGAAAAGGTTGTTTCAAATAAATTTCTATCGCAGTTGTTGTCACAGACGCATTTTCATCCTCCAGCAGTTGACTTTTGTGATTCAGTGCGCCCTAGTTGAGTTAATGCAGGCTGTCGTTACGTCCTACTTTGGGAAGTGTGGACCGACGGAGGTACTTTATGTCCTCGGTGGTGGTCTTAGCTGACCAAAACAGACGGAATGTTGGCAAAAAAGCTCGACAAAATGTTACCACTGCGGTAGCATGCAGTCACTGCGCGTCCTGAATTCTGTACATCGCAGAGTACCTGTTGCAGACTGATCACAGAATTTATAACTTGTTTCATATAAAAAGTAGGGGGGAGGGGCGTTCGTAGGGCCATACGTGCTCTGACGCTCCGAGCGGCCGTTCTGACCAGCCATCAGCAAAAACTGAAACGCTCTCTTCAGAGCTCTGGCCATGTAGCGAACAATGTACATGTCTGCTTTAGCCTAGATGCAGAACGCCAACGTCCTCTGCCGGTGTCGAAGGGTCCCCCCTTCGCTGTAATCCTTGTCGTGTCCACCTCGATTCATCATGACGATACCTAGCAGCCCCAACGGTCTCTCCCCTCTTGACAGTTTCGCAAAGCCAGTTAGTGGTCGGGCAGATTTACTGCAAGACTTATCAGTGTACTGAAGCTGGCATGAAAAATGAAGCAGGTGCTGTCCGGGGCTACTTTACCCTCCTTAAAATAGCAACCTTCGAAGAAGCAGTTTTTTCCTCGTTTATCTATACCCTCTTTAAAATGTTCTGACGATTGTTATTGTTACTTCAGCATCACAATGCAAGTGCACTTTTGCAAAATTTGTGTCGTCACCTGTGCGCTAAATTATTCATCCGTAATACGTGATATGTACAACCATGAGTAGACTTAACTCACAAATCTCAACTAATCGAATTCAGCAAATTTGTTGTGTTACATTCTTGCCCGGCCATGAGCAATTAATTACGTAGGTTGGAGCCTTTTCTGTAGGTTTAAACATTTAAACAATTCATATCTATTGTTTTTTGACATTTAAATAATTTATCTGACCGCGTCTCGAAAAGCTCGTCGGCCTCTGTGGGATTCGAACCCATGATAGTAGGGACGAAGCCTGAGAACAACTAACGCTCTACTCATATGAGTTACGAGGTCTCATCGGGAGCCGTAGGTTTAATCACATTCGGCTCAAGTTACTGAGAAAACCACCTAATGCTCATGAGAGTCTGGTAGTCATCTGATGGATTCCAAATGGATTGCCTAGGAAATCCTACTTAGGTAGTCAACTTACCGTATTATAATTGGGGGATTCCGCAAGTTACAGTAGGCTGGGCGGGTAACTTGGCCCGAATGTGATTAAAATCCCCGCTCTTGCTGTGGCCTCGTGCTCAGGTGACCAGAGCATTGGCTGTACTTAAGTATTGCAACTCGCTGTCGTGAGTTTCAAGCCTACCGAGGTGGCTGACTTTTCACAACTGAATTCACATCTCTCGACATGTTTGATGAACCCATAATCAAGGTATTCTCCCCACGGAGTCGCAATTTAAAAGCGTTGCCTGTGTTGAAGATTGTTTTTCTTGACGGAGCAGAATATAACTTCTACGTATGGAGTGACCGATCAATTTTGTTTTATGTTATCCGTCTTTGTCTAAACTGCACAAAAATTCAGCCTCATCAAACATGGACGGGATTTTTCTGTCGAAATAAGACACACTGTTAGTAAATGCCGCATTTTATGGACCACCGTTAAAATGGTTTGCACGTTTCCCTGTACTAGTTGAGTATACTACATGAACCAATGTGGTGAATACGGGACATTGATCGTCAATGAAAATCAGTGTTACCTCTGTAATCCTGAGTCTGTAGGTCACGTTTACGGTGCACTGGATTGAACTACCAGGCTTGGCCCCGCTTTTTGGCCAGTCGAATGAAAGACCTAAAGTTCTGGGGGCAAAGTCAATCGCTGGAGGGTAATTTTGGATCCTCGGCAGACATGTGTGAGCTCGCGCTTAGGTTTGGATCCAGCCAGGGTCTAGCAGTCTGTAGGTCCGCACGTCAGTCCTCTTGGCAAGCAGCACCGCGGATGTCGATGCTGTTTCAGGCCAGAGACGTGTGTTTTGCCACTGACAAACAAATCGAGCGTTCCGGGAGGGTCACTATTGTATATCACTAGTCACCTTAGTTCTATCACCTACGTAAAGGCCTGTGCAATTCTGGCAGGGCTTTAGGCGGGTGTGTAACGGGAGGGGGTGGACAGTGGTCAGCGCTTCTCGACCGTCAAGACCCGTAAATGACTGCCTGTGCGTGCCCGTGCGGACGTGACCGTCGCGGCGAGGCATAAACAGGAAGCTTAGAGTATTCGCTAAAGCATACACAGATATCTACTATCGGTCTGCCCCTCCCTCCACCTTGTCCTTACTCATTACGCTTAGCGCGATCCACCTTTCCGAACTGTAGCTAGGCTATTGAGTCGTTTAGCGGAAGATCGCGTTAACTACACCACGAAAAACTCCAGCCATCCCCAAAATCATAGCACAGCGGCATAATATCTTGTCTAGATTAGGTTGAAAACAAGCGGCTTCAGTGGTCTTCGTCCTAACTCAGGAAGTTGGAAGTTAGCAGTTTACTAGCCGTCTGCTAGGCAATTAAAGAGAACCTGTATCTACTCCTAACAGGAGCTCGCCTTCCCTTTTTCTTTTTCGCACGTATAAAAAAGTAGTCGGCAGTTAAACTTTTCGTCCTTCGGAAAGCATCGGTTTAGTTTCAATATAGGGAATACTTTTTGAACTTCGAATATACAAGGGAGTCGACCCATCTATTCAACAGTTAATCTTGCACTCAGCGTGGGATTGTTCACGCCATGTGGTATTGATACTTTGACGCTTTCATAATTCCCGACATAATACTTCCTATAGTGCTTGAATTATCAATAAAAATCAGAAGAGTCCTTTGATAGCAGCAACTGTTGCACACCGTAGGATCGTAAGCCGACACCCATAAACGTCTTGTTGGCACTCAGAAAAGTAGTAACCTGGTATTTCTCACTGGTTTGAAAGCATTCACGAGTAGTCAGGGCGAATCATTATTTTTATTCATAAACGCTAGACAAATACCCATCATTTTAAACATGTCCGATTGACGCTGTACCAAATGGGGAATTCATTGTCCTTGGCGCAAGAGGGAATGGCGATAAAACTGTGTCCTTAACGCATTAAGCTGACCTACACCCGAATTCTCTGACACTTTGTTCGGCCGGAAATTAGCGGCTTTGTGAATAGCTTTCTCCTTCTTGTTACCTGACTTTAGAGTCAGTCCATGGAAAATTAAAATCGAAAGTTTTTATTTCCCAGCTTTTAAGTCAACATCTTTAAAAACGCCTTTTCAAGTCAATCGCTCACTCCTAATGCCCAAATGGAAGGCCACTTCGTCAGGGCATTGTTATTAACAAATTCAACTTTTAAAATGAACTACAGAGTTTCGCTGAGTGTCATTTGAACTTCTAGTAAGACCATAGAAGAATCTATGCAGCAGCTTTAGACGAGCCAACTTTCTCTTCTTAGTGGAATACGAGGATCAGAACTCTAAGCAAAAGTGCACGCACGATAGATGCTCAGTGCAGAAAGTGGATGTGATCCAATACGCAACTCGAAAGACGTTTCGCTGACAAAAAAATCGATAGCTGTCATTCTAACACATCGAAAATGCGTTTGGAGTTCGCCACTCTAAAGATCAATTTAGATGGTAAACTGGCGAAGCCTGGCTTAGCCGGTCAAGTAATTTTTTTATCTTACCCCTGTTCGTGCCAAAGGTCGATGGAATTAGTGGAGGCTACCACAGGTCAATCTGGGTCTGCTCCATAAAAATCCATTTTTGAACTCACTTCAGCGGTCTTGCGCTAACAGTTTGAGCGATGTCAGTTCTCACATGGAATGCATAACCGATAACGCGTAATCGGCAGACCTGACAGAGCATTTAGTTGTGGCTGACGAAGACTCGTTTCAAGCTGAACTGAAGAAAATTAACAGTCATATACTAAGAAGATTTATAACACCGCGTAGGTCTCAAACACTGACTGCACTTTTAAAGAGCTTATCTCAATGTTTACCCAGAGTAGTCTATGCCTAAAAGAACCGGGCAGTCAGGTTATTTTGGAAAATATAGTTGTCCAAGAAGCTGGGTAGATTTCATTTGTTATTTCAAAAGATGGCTGCCAACTTTAAGGCACCTGACAGCGAACGGCATTTTCGTTAAAGCATTGAATAAGAGTTTTCTTAAAGTGTGCCATCGTGTATGAGCCGAATCGCTCTTTCCAAAGACTCCGGATTATGCAGAGACCCCAAAAGCGTAAACTTGGATGTTCTCAAGTAGAGAAACTACTTGCTGCAATTGTATTTCGGTATTTGACACAAAATCCTCATTGTTTCTTGCAAACGGTCAACATGTTCAGAAGTTGCGTAGAATACAGCTGACACTTAAAGAAACGCTTAATGGGCTATTCTAGAGCATGTTTCTCCAAACACATTCGGGGACCATGGTCTGAATATAAAAGTGCTTTTTTATCAGTACGAACGGAAATTTGAGTTCGTTGAAGCAAACGGAGAGAATGGGTCGCGTTTACTAGAGCAAAACATTTCACCGGACGTTTCGGATTCGCACTCGAACTCATCATCGGAGATGGCATCCGACAGTCTGTAACGATGATTTCGAGTGCAAGCCCGAAACGTTCAGTGAACTAAACCCCTCTCTCCAGCCATCGCGTCTCCTTCTCTCTCTCGAAGGGGCCTTCAACCGGCCACCAAAGTACCCCTTCGAACTTACTCATTACCAGTTACACCAAGAGTTCGAACATCCCACGCACTCGTACTAATGACCTTTCCGGCATGGTGTATGCATTTGTGACTGTAAGTGGAACTTGAGCACTTTTGATTGGACGTTGCACAGAAGACTGGTGTCTCTTGATTTGTCTAATAGTCAACATTAACTGGAGCTTGCAGCATTAGCTCTACCCTTTCGTAAACATCTAAGCAAAGGAAAGTTGAATGATGAGGCATCCCCACAAGTCATGTGTAAGCCAGTTTAAGACGTTCCACATTATCTTTTTACGCCAAAATTAGGAGATTCGATGTGGATATCTTTTAGACGACATTGCTTGAGAGTGTATTTAGGTCCCGGCAGTGAGCTCAATTTTAGTAGCATTCAATGTATTTTAAAGAGACAATTGGAGTCCTTTCTTCAAAAGTAATTCTTTTCAAAAAGAAAATATCTACTATAAACCCATTTGGAATGCTCATGTGATAGACCCTAATGACCAATTCGTCTTATCTTAGTGCTGTCTAAATAATCGAAATAAGTTCGCTGCAATATGCACAAGAAGTTTGGAAGAACCAAAGAACACATATGTAATACTCTACGATCAAACTTCTTCAGGTCACTTGCTTATGTTTTTCAGACAATATACCCTTTTAGTTCCAAGGTTTTTGGAACGCGAACTCACTGCACATGCTTCTTCTTCTCAAGTTTTATAGAACTCTTGGAGCGTCTTAAAACAAACTCCCTCACGCGCAATCACGGAAAAAAAACAAATTCGGCCACAAATCTGGTAAATGTGGAGGATATCTGGTTTCTGATTTGTCCCTGATCGCACCGCTAACCATACTCCCTACCACTCACCTCCTTAGATCTTCCATGCTGGTGCGTCCAATGATCACAAGAGCTGTTTTGAACAGTATGTTGCCAAAAATCGGACAAACTGAATTATGCTTTTATCAGAATCTAAGGGCATTTTAAAACAAACCTCCCCACAAGACATCATGGAGGTGAAAAAATTCGACTGGAGATTCAACAAGTTTGAGTACATTCAATCTAAGCACACAGTGTGTGCGTGTGTGCGTTTATCCGAGGCTCTTTTACAAAAGGCTGACTGGATCATGCCTGATCGGTTGCTCGAAAAAATGTTAAACGAAAGACGTTTGAAGGTCCGGACAACATGCGTCACCTGATGTCAACTTCATCATAATGGTTCTGCTGTAACCTGCTGACTTGTTTGTCTGATTTTGTTCAAGTCAATTGGATCGCCATGAAGATGTCCTTAGATTATGTAGTGCATGTGCTTATTTAATGCGCAAACAGAGTGAGCAAGACGGGTTCAACCTCAGAAGTAAAAACCTATCCGTTCATCACCAGGGGTTCGGAAACGAGAAGCCTGCCGACTGGTCAGAATCGTGTGTTTAGGCTGCTCATCTCTGTAGTGTAAGTTGACACAAGACTTTTGTGGCAAAAAGTGCCCTTCATTGACTAGCTTCTTCGCATCTAAGGGGAGGCACCTTTTTGAATAACCGTCCTACCTAACTTGGAAACCTTTTCTGCCATGCAGGAAACAAAGCAAAAAATAACCTTTAGGAATGCACGACTAGGTTGAGAACGAGTAAAATTTCAGTGGATTTCAGCTTTGACTGCAGTAGTCATTATTCTTTCTTGTTTTCAATTTTTTTTACTAAAGCAGCCCTTTAGTTGAAATTATAGTGTGTGGTCCCTCTTAAATATGCAGTGAGTGGGAGATATTGGATAAAATAGAGGGCGGTTCATGATGATGTGGTGGTTCCTGGCAGTGCTTGCGAAATTGGAAAAGCTGGATCCGTCAGTCTGAAGACCAATGCAAGGACTGGCGCGTTTCAAATTAAGACCGCATATTAGTCAAAACGTCCTGGTCCCATGCACGCACCGGTACCCAGCAGATGGTCCAAGTTCAAACCTCCTGTGTTGCTCTAGCTTCCTGCTCTACTAACTCTCGATTGCTTTGGTTCGACTCGTTGGCCTTGTTTCAAACTTACATCGCACCTGCTTATAAACACAGAGACGAGGCTATGAGTGACGTATTTGGTGAATGCGGCAAATGAAACTGATGATGGTAATAGTTTATTGTATCACATGATAATGACAGTTGCCCGACTACCGTGACTACAAAGTACAAATGGACAGTCACCCAGCCGTCCCGACCGGAATGGTGTCTCAACAAGGGAAATGAGCCAGAACTCGTTTCAGTCTCCCTTGCCTTTATCGGTAATGCATCTGAACTGTAAAGTCTTATGGGTTGGTCGGATGTGGATTATTAGCCTCACCTGAAGTAAGCAAACCCGAGTCACCTCTAATACGGCACTGGGTGTAATAAGGGTTTTCACAGGTGGGGCCGGGGAACGCACAAACGACGAGGTTAAGCAGCTGTATGCGGAAGGAAAGCTATTGAGAATGCGCGGTTGTACTTTGAATGGTTGAGAAATAGTTGCGCTAACGCCTAACCCACAACCTCCTAATCCTTACTATCAACCCTAACCTTTAGCCATAACCCCTTACCCCAACCGCAATAGTATTGTGTCCATCAGGTGGGGCTACCAAGCCACATCTTACTCTCGTCAACCTAAGGACACGCTGCGGTTGTCCACAAATTGCAATGATGGGGACTGCAACTACGTTGGGCAAACTGGGCAGAGATTGAAGAACCACTCACAAGAGCACAAGTCAGCAACTCGGAGGCTACACCCAAGTTATCAAATTGCAATGCACCTTGGAGGAAGTGGCCACATTTTCAAACTTCAGGGAGCTACCGTCTTAGGGGGAGAGGCGGACAAATAAAAGGCATAACTGCTAACGTTTGTGACGTGGTACTAAGATGCCAACTCCATCAATAGGCAATTTGATCCTCCAGCAGCTTATTAAGACCTGCGTCATTATGATCATAAAGTTCAGGACCAGACGACCACACAGAACTTAAAAAGTCCGCACAGAGATAGCCCGACGACGAGTTCATCTGTCGAGGAAGAAGGAATGCCAGACTGACCGACCCTCACAGGGACTCAGTACCCTCCCCGGACGAGGTGGTGACTTACGAAGCATGCAAAGTATCTCCTGAAGGGCTGGGGTGTCGAGAAAAGAAAAAATCGATCAGCATAAGGCTGGTCAGAGCGGAATGTCACTTCTATTTCTGTTCGATTCAGCGCATTTACGCTCTGGCAGCGGTTGGCCGATCAAGCTCTCCGAAACATCAGAATTCCAATAAACCTGCGCCTGTGAGTACATCTTATTTCCGAAACCCTTTCTTCCTCATCACATATTCACATGCAAAACTACTTAGCCACGTTGGAGGTGGTGGGTACAGCAGCAGTTTTATTTTGGCCCAGTCACCATTTTGCGTTACAGTTACCTAATAAATCCAATATCTGGCAAATAAAGCCTTCGTGACTGGAAAAATGCTCGATTCTACTTATGATTATTAAAAAGTCAGTCTAGAGCATGGCTTCACATATACGTTATAGCTGCTGATATTTTTTGTTTGACTGATTCTGGTTGTATCGACAGCGAAACGCACGATTTGAGTGAAAACCAACGCTGTGCTGGAAGCGCGATGGACAAAATCTTCACTGAGCTTGATAAAGCCTCGAGTCGATCTGACTTGGATTTAACATCAAAACACAATGGCAAAAGGACAGTTTAGGACTGACCCAGCTAGGCGATTCCTCCTTTCCATTATAAGCATAATGTTTTTAAAATTACTGCATCATATTCTCGTCTTTGGCTTTAAAGGCGGCCACGTGACTGGAGAATTCGGTCCGCCTGCTGAAGAACTAGGATGCAAATATTGTTCCTTAATGCGGTCTTTTGGCGACGTCTGATAATTTGAGATCCGAAACTGTATGGTTTTGCCGTGCTTGATTTTCGAGGAAACTAATGCGCGAACTAGGATTAATTCCCTTTAAATAAATATTTTTAGGCTCAATTCGAAAGTTTATACATGAAAATTCGAACTGAAATTCATCATCTCCCAAGGAATATTAATGAGCTATCAACAGGCAGTTAGTAGTAAACAAGTACCACATGGTTTAGCATACTGAAAGCGCAGGTATTAGCCAGTAATCGAATAGGTGGGCAACGGTCCCAGTATCTCTCGCATGCTTTTATCTGGTACCTTTGGTGTCATTATGGTAAATCACCTAGAGTCTTTTTGGCGTGTGGTAGGCGTAAAAGTGGATGGCTGACTGGTCAGCCTCTTAGTTCCCGTTCATTTGCAGTCAGTCTGTTCGAGTCTTACAGCTGGAGATGAGGGTTGCTGGGAGAGAAAGAAAGAAACAATGAAATCGATGCTTCTTATGCTTATTTCACTATACATCAAACCCTGCGAGGCCTTCACTGTTGCCACAATTAACAGGGGATCTCTTTGAGGTCGATGGCTGTATGTGGGGACAGGTAGAAACACGCCTGTCGCCTCCACAGCAGGCGTGTCTCCTTGAAAAACAATTCTGTCTGGTCCCGCAAGTGGGCGCTGAGAAACACCGATACGTAAACCTTTCCGCGCCGAGAAAATGTTTACTTTTTACTCTACTGCGATTCTACGACTTCATAAACTCTAGATGTGTATGTGACAGCGGCGGGGAAGGTGACAACAAAACATACTCTCAGAGTGACAGCTTGCGCTCCTCGACAGTTAGTCGTTTACTTGCCTATCGGCGTTGTTAAGTTTGTGCGGACGAAGATGACGTAAAATAACAGTAGACGGACGCGGAAACTGGCTTAGAAGCCGCAGACTCGCGCGCCACAACCTAGGTGGAGTCTGCAGTGCATTTTGGCTGGCGCACTGGTGCAATAATTTGTCTCCTTCAGACTAGACTGCGGTCTATCGGCTGTACTGTTGATGCACAAAATACACGACCAACCGGTGAGCGTCGGCCAACTGTTTACGGCATTCAAAGGGGCTCCATCTGAGGATTTACGTCCATCCTGTCCCGCCACCATGCAGGCAGATGCCTGCGTGTAGGAGACTTGGCTACTGCTGTTGCACTCACTCGCCTTCTTTCATCCTGGGCGGTGTAGTTATCGTTGGACGACGAAACCCCCTACGTTAAGCAGACTTGAGGTTTTTTTCAGGCGCCAGTGTCCCGATCAAGGTTGCTGGTATGCGACCGAAATGTACACTGTGGCTGAGCGCTGGTATTTTGTGTCATCGCCGAATCGTTCGCTTGCTGTACAAACGAAACTCGGTCTATTAGGTGTAGAAAGTGGAAAAGTACAGTTAAAAAAGGCAAGGTTGTTTTGAACTCGCCAACATTCCAACCATGGTAAGTATGCCTAAATTACCCTCTTCGTTTTTTAGGCTTGACGAAGCAATTCGACGGCAGTCGTACGGTAAGGCATTGTGTCTAACGGTCCCCTAGTTTGTCTGGTGCTCTGGTTTGTAAATCAAGGCCAACTAAATTAAGCCTCTTACTAAAAAGGAGCAGAACTGCAAAAACGGCCTCCGTTTTAAATTTCCTGCATAACTAGTATCGAGCGTTTCAGTAGGATAAATATATCCTGAGCTGTGATATAAAATAAGTGCAATCTCTTCCAACTTAAGTAGTTCTTGACGTTAGAAAAAAGGCATGGTGGCAGACTTTCAATATCATAAGTGAGAAGACATCACACAGATGACACCTCGTTCTGAAACGAGGTCAATTTACTTGGCCATTAGCTCTGGTAAGATGAAATATTTCTGTCTTATATCTGCTCGGATAACTGAAAAGTTACTTATTAATTGTTGTCAAGTGCGGCCGCTCCCAAAGGTGTGATTCATATATTATTTTAAATACAAATAACATGCATTATAGTTACAACTAACGCGCAGTCAAAGACATGGGATCATATCGGAAACCAAAAAACAGATAGCCCAAACTTCTCTCGTTGCTCTATGGGACAATGAAAAAGCAGAAAACCACGTGTCTACGTTGCGGATGCGGCGGCACAAAGTGTCTTGTTATCAATCGTTTTCGAAATACTTTGGGGACTTTTTTCCTGTTTAACACACAACAAAGCTCCAATTCCTCCTGCTATTGTATGTTGAAAGAAGCGTCTGAACCTTGACCATCAAAACACAATTCGACCAACTCAACGCATATCCAAACATCTCTTCCATTCGACTGTTCGCTCAATACGCATTACTCCCCTGTCAACAGTATCATGACAATTAGACTAGTCTGTTGCGTTTCTGCTTAAAAAGCGTTAGGAAATTAAGAACATATTACCCGAAGCTAGCGCTCCGGCACGCATGACAATGCTTTGCGGGGTAGACCTTACGCCAGCTCATTTGACTCCAACAATAGTTCCTTGTCTTGTCTAATCACATTATCGACAACTGGCCTCTTTCTCTTAGAGCAAAACCAGCTAACAAACAGGATTTCCTGTCAAAGCCGTGTCTGTTGTCGAAGACGAGAAAAGGAAGTTCTATGAGTAAATTTGAAAATGTCTTGCTCCGCCCCTCAACTGACTGTAATTGGTTATTTATTTCCTTGGCTTCCCAGACGGCCTCTTATGCGGACCCAAATCTTCGCGCTAAAAGGCGTCATTCTTATAAGAAGACCATCATCTCTCCGCCGTAAATAATATCTCCCCTTCTTCGGATGCGCAGTCAATCCTATGGAAGGCAAAGAGAGCTCAATTATTCTTTGACGTCAATGTCGTCTTAAACCTGTCTGTGTAAATGAAATCACTGAAAATGCAAGATAGCCCTTTGGTTCCAAATGTTTCAAAATAACAAAACCGTGTTTACTTAGACGATAAAATTTCTTCACAGGAACCCATTAGGTTTTTGTAAACGTTCGTCGCCAGTTTCATGGCTGGGTTCGCAAATGCAAATTAGATTTAAATAGGCAAAACAGTTACTCCTCAAGCTCTTTCTGTAAGAATTTAAGAGTTTGCTGTGGCACGAAAATCAGCAGGAAATTGATGAGTCTATTAGTTAATTGTGAGTTGATAAAGTTACACTAAATTTTAAAGAAAGATGCATATAGCCGCATATACTCAATTTTGTTACGTATTTAATTTTTACTTGCGTAAATTGCAAGACCAGCGTTAAGACATCTGTCAAACCAGTTGAAATTTAGAGTGCTTACATTACTTTTTCTGGTTTTCCTATTATTTATGCTGAAATTTCACTGGCCTTCCTCGTACGCCTTCTGCATGTGTTGGCGTGTTCGCTAAGTCGTAAAAAATATCTGGCCCCTCAGACAAAAACTAATGTTTGTCACGACGAAAAAAACAAATGTACATCTGTCTTGCGAACTCTTCTGGCTGTTGCAGGACCTTTCATTTCCATTCAATGGGCTCTAATATTCTCATAAGTTCAAAACCTGTTTTGAATGGTGCTTTAGAAAATGAGTGTGTTGCATTAGCAAATTAAGGAAGCCAAAAGTGGCCCGAAGAAGTCTAACGCAGCCGCCCAATGCATCGCAGTTGCCCCTATTTTACATTTAAGTTACTCTTATTAGTTTATGTCAGTCTGATGTTACTTGCTAACATAAACACAAAGTCTGTGGGAAGGAAAAGAGGAACGGCCACAAAAAAGGACAATACACCATTTAGCATATCTAGTCAAACAAACTCTGGTGTATCAGAGTTTGCGCATTTAGCATTAGCTGAACGACAGTTAGTTGGCAACTAATTATGAAAATTTCTGGTAGTGTAATCCTGAATGCACCCTAATTTTAGGAAAATATCTTGATTATAAGTCCTCTTTATTTGAGCGTGCTTGAGTACGCGACGCCGTGTTAAGTTAAAATGCAATTCGCCTAGTAAATGAATGTTATATTACAGTTCTTCAGTTGACTTTCTACGTAACCCTATGGGTTACTTATCTGTGCAATATCTCCGCGCAAGCCATTGGCACCACAAACTTTCCATTACTAGAAGTCTGTGCCTGATTTCTCGACATTTCTTTCTACATGCTTAAGTGAACCCCCAGTATAGTTAATTCCAAACAACGTGCATTACGGCACGCTTCGCGATACGTTAAAATGTGCTCAGATAAATTTCCTGAGCTTTGCGTAAATGTGATCGTTCGTCCGTCATGTATATGAGGTAGGATAATTTAATTACTAACAAAAGCTTTTTCAGTCATGTTATAATCTAGTCTCCAATTTAAAAGATATTTATGAACGAAATAAGGGGATAAAAATGCAGCCATGGGTTACACTTCAATAAATATATTTTGCAATTACCTTAACTTTCTACTCGTAACAAGCAACTCAGGCTTGTTGACGTGTGCATTGTCGTTCCTGTGAATAGCAAACTTACACTTAAACCTCACGCGTAAGTCATAAGTGCACCTAAGTTTTCTGTTAGAATAATTGCAAAATTGTCAACTATGCCGGCTTTGGTACACAGTTTCCTAGCTCTTTTGTTAAAGGACCTGGAACACAAAGTATAGCACAGGCATTTAAATAAAATAACCCGTTTTATGCGGCGACTTGAGTCAGACAACATTAGATAAATAACCGTGTTGGGCATGTAAATTCATAAAGTCAGTTTCTAATAACACAGTGTTCACTATACTACTCGACTACTCCTTTCTTAACAAAAGAGGGTGAAAACAGTCTGGAGTTTTAAATATGACCCCAGTTAACTTTGAAATGTGCTGCATTGATAACCGAAATATTAATTTTGAAAGAAAGAGAAAAACAAAACTCACAATTATGTCCGCATCCAAAAATACAGCCTTTGAAAATTCGGTGAGCTTCCAACAGTGAAGCTTGGTATACGTTGTTCCAAGATTAGGGCGGTTAAGGAAATAGGCGCTTTTATTGTCGGTACTTTGCAGCTGTTTTACAACAATAACGTTGTCGTAAACTTTCCGGAGAAGATGTCTGAATGGTCACATATGATAACATCCTTTTAATTTACCGAAAGGAATGCGGCACTCCCTCAGTTATTAAAACTGTTAACTCCTTCCTTGTGTTGACGAGGCGCAGTGAGTGACCCAGTACCAGGGCACCAATCGAATAGGTGTCATTTGTTGTTAGCGTAACGAAAGTTTCTCTCGGCACTATAAATTGTAAAAGATGCGTAGTTATCGACTTTAAAAAACAGGCCATAAGTGACCACTTTGAAGAAATCAATCAAAAGTTCTACAGATCACGGTTCTAGAGCAAAACATGCATTAAATTAAACAGTTTACTACAAAGTACGAGCAAAGAGGGCTTACGTATCTGCTTCGAAATTTACAGCGCTATCACATGAGTAGCATAAGAATCTAATTAATAAACCCATGTTAGATTACACATCTGTGTTTAAACTTTTATTGTTCATAGAATGAATCAAAACGTATTGCAAAAATTACGAACTCCTCGAACGCACTATCGCAAAGTAACTTTGAATGTTATCAAGTTTATACATAATACCATCGCGATGCAGTAAAAGAAATTGTGAGAATTGTCGTGGAAGTGACGTAGGTGAAGGGAAGACACAGAAGTCGGTAGGAACTCTTGTCACATCGTTAACACATTTTCATATTTAGGAAGTACAACTGATCACCGCAGTGGTAAGTAAAGATTGACAGGGTGTTTTCGTGGTGCGAAAGGCGGGAAGTAGCAAGCGAAATACACAGCATAAATAAGCTAAAAAAATGCAACGGGCACTGACTGCTCATTCGCATTGATGCAGTTTTCGAATTGTTTTGAGGACTTGCATTTTTAAGAGTTCTATGTATGACATAGGTCAATCTCAAGTGGATTCCTGAGGGTCAAAATTCAATGGGTATGCGGCAAGCAAGGGAAATTTACCAATTCTCAATTGAGGTACAGTTAGGAAGTAAAGTGAAAAAGATGACGCAAGCGCATTTTTCTGAGCTTACGAGGGTGTTGTAACTTTTGCATCAAAAAGTCAAGTTCTCCGTTAATGTGGTTCTCCGAGATGTCGGTTTCTGGACCCCATCTTTTTTAAATTAAATGCATACAGTTAATTACGTATAACCTGACGTTGCGCCTCACATGAAATCTGTGATATTGTTTGTTTACTTGCTTGCCTAGGTTTACACTCTCCTTGCGGCAGCCTGTTTTGTTTTCATTTAAGACGTGTTGATGTGAGCAAATTAGATGTCAAAAGCATGAATTAGAAGCATATATTTAAAGTAGTCGAGACGACGAGGACTTGTTAACGCGAATAGGTTAGAATAAAAGAAAAAGCGTAATCTTTCGGAGAGCAGGGGAAAGTGTGCGACATAAATTTGGGTTAACAATTCAACATGGTCGCTTATGTAGCAGAATAAGGCCTCCGGGTGGCCAAGTAACCTGTAGAAAGAAATTAACAAGACTTTTAGCTGTGGAAAAAATGCTGAGTCACCGGGAAAATAAAATACTCCAATCATTGCAAGGTATAGAAAACCAGACTGGGAGGCGTGATCAAATCAAATCCCGCTAAAAGAACAACAGAGGACATTGAAACTACTAAAAACGGAACTTGGGCTAAATATTCTTCGGAGTTTTTCTAACTAATCTATGTGGACGCAACGGTTTCCTTCCGTCATCCGTGGAAATCTGCCAATTCCAGGCAGAAAAGTTATCCCTTTCTCAGAAAATCTTGACACAAGAAAATGTGATGGATTAAAATAAAGTTATTTCAAAATCTCCAAGCTTCCGGGAGGACTTGCCAGTTAATCTTCCTTACTCGTGTCAGTGCTTTTCCATACTTCATTTGATATTGGCACACTATCCTAATATTGGAAACTGGCGGATATTACTCCCTTATCTACAAGTGGCAGCCGGGTACCGACGACAAATTACGGACACATAGGCTTGGCCAGCATTCTCAGCAAAGTTCGTGAGTGGATTATAATGAATTAGTAAAATTTCTAGAGGTTCCCAAACTATTTCCGAGCTATCAACAGCGCTTGCGGAAATTTATTGCAGTTTCTCTGGACCTTTACTAGAGGAAGGAAAGGAACACTGTGCACGTCGCTTTTGGCGAGTCTCCGAATTCGCCGGTACTGAAACGGCTTGGCGACACCAGGTACCGTGAAACAAACTTGAAATCAGAAGGATCGAGATGTAGCTTTATGTACATCTTCGATTTTTCTCTTCGTACTTTTTGTAAGACTGAACTTTTCTGGACTCTTATTTGAGCCATTTAAAGTGTACACAGCAACCGGTTTCGACTTGCGGCAACGCGCGCTATGAATTCGCCGCCGCTTGATGTTGGCAGTTCATTAATCCCTCCCATGTGTCTACATCAATTTCAGTCAAGCGCGTAATCATCTGAAATTACATCCCAGCTACACCTCGTTGGCTGTGGATTCAACCGGACGACAGACACCATTAACATGGACCAGCCCAAAACTTTTATGAACTACCTAAAAAGGTCCAAATTTTTTATAACACCCTGGTACTGGAGAAGACTTCACTTTTGTATGTCCACAACAATTCACGTTCACTGTCATTTTCATTCATTTTCTCGTTTTTATTCAAAGGTTAAGCGCAATAATCCTTGCTTAGAGCTACGTCTTCCTGCATACATTATTATGTTGTTTTGGTTAGTATTTGCAATAGACAGATAACTTCCCCTAAGGGGTCGAAAACCTGCTTGTGACGCAGCGTCAGGTTGTTTACATGGGTCAGTAAGGATCAATTATTGCTACGATCGAGAGTGGGATACCCGAGAGTCCAGTATCGGACATTCTTCTCCCCTGATTTATACTTCAGATCGCCCAAGATATTTGGACTGTGGGACAGCAATGTGTGTCGACACCGTGAAAATTTAGAGTGTATTCCGGAGCATTTCCCCAATAATATTGGCGGTATGCCAACCTAAATCGGTTGGAAGATTGGCTTAACCGTTGCGTTTTGCAGTTAACCGTTGGTTAATACACCATACTTCGCCTTGGTTGTCTGTCCAGATCCGCTGACAGGCGGAACCACTTTCTTGCTTGTGCATCTTTACAAGGCATATTAACACAGATGGAACCCGGTGTATAGATGGCGAACTATTAAAACCATTTGCCCATTGCTGGAGAGTGACGAAGTGCGCAATGTCCGTGTTACATGTCGTCGAGGGGACAGCTAGAGGGATTTGGACATTACCCATTCCCGGGATTTTCGGAACATTGGTTTGGTGTATGTCAAATCATTACGGTCGTTGACAGTGTAGGATCAATATAATATCGAAAGAGCTCGAATAAATTCATCAAAATGTGCAAGGGTAAAAAATTCTCGTCCCCAGCAACTGGTCTGTTGAATCCAAGCTTCTTTCCTCTGAGTTATAGGTGTACGTAATCTGGTTTTTTACATGCTTTCCGCCTTGTGGAGTGTCTGAATTACAATCTGGCATTTAGCGGTTCGTCTGAATTTGTTAAAATCCAATCTACTAATTTACCCGTTAAAATTGCGCGTTTAGTGTGTATGCGTGTATGTGCAGAAATTCTCCTTCTCTTTTGGTACGGTCGAATCTTCCTTTTATCTTTTGAATTTCGTCAAAAATGAGATCTTTAAGAGGAATCATGACAAATTTATACTTCAAACTAAGTCAAAACCATGGGAAATTAAACTCATCCCTGGAGACCCGTATACAAATTTTCATACTTTTCTGGTCGCATTTGTAATATTTCAAACACGCATGTTTGCACTGTGCAATTTACCCGACTGTACGCCGCAAATTGATTGTTCAATGACTCAGGCATATTTACGTCTCTATAAACAGAATTGAACTGAAGACCTTTTTTCTGACTTTCATATGAGGACGATCAACAGCGCCAATAAAGTAACGGCAAATACAACAGTGCCAATAGCGTTCAAAGAGATGGTTACTGTAGTAGAGGAACTATGGACTATTTTGCACTTTTCGATGAGATTAAAGAAATTGCGGCCGTACTTTTTGTTGCTCTCCAGTCGAAATATTGAACAGATACCAGTTGATAAAGTTGGGCGCAGACGCAACAAACTGTTTGGTGGCACGGTCTCTAGCCATTTAGGGCCGTTGTATGAAATTGCAATCAGTAGCTAAATCCGACTCTATGAGCTATAACACGGCTCCCGACTAGATCCGTCGTGGCCCTCTGTGTAGGGACAATCCTGGTTTCTCTGATCCGCACTTGACTTAGGACCTCTACATACGAAGGAGATACGCAGAAGACTATTCTGTGGCTAGGGGATATTTAAATTTCTGTGTCATTATTCTGGAAGCCCTTGCGAGTAAATGGAGTTATTGCGCGGCTCTGCCGCAGGCATCATGAAATTTGATGGTAGGGGGCGCTCATCGATCGTTCATACGGAACTCACTCGTTCCGTTGTGCCTTAAGGGCTCTCTCTCGAGCCCAACCAGCAGCCGCACAGCGTCGCATGATACATAGGCAGAATGGCAGAATGTCGGTAATGCCATTCTGATCATGAAATTTTTTGTGGGTTCTATGAGTTGAATTTGTCCTCTTTCCGCATAAGGGGCTGCTGGTGCGATGGCCCCACCTTTTAAGTTTTATTCAACTTGTATTATAAGGCGGAACTAGAATAAGTGAATAGCAAGTGGTGTAACTCTAAATTAAGTGCGGGATTCCACGTACTCTTTCACCATCTAACTTCGAAAGTGTGTTCTTCGACAAACAAGTCATAACTGGTCTGTCTTAAGATGTTGGTAGCGACAGCAAAGGACGCAAAGACCAATAATAACATCCAACAGTGGTGTACTAATACATAGCATAATTCGTCTTATCTCGATGAAGAAGTGGAAGTCAGTAGCGAACGATCACCTACTGACAAGCAATCTTTGAAAGCCTATTCGTTCGTTTATTCAAATTAGGATTTTAAACTTAACTTCGTTTGGAAAATAATTGCCCTGACCGCTGTGTTATCTAGCTGCTTACAAGGTTAAGCTGCACGTTTACAAATTAATGCGATTTCTTACAGTTCTTGGTTGTATTGGAACTGTAAACGTCCGCGATCCTACTGCGTAGGACAAAGTCTTATTGTCGTATGTGAGATTCGAACCAAGGATATCTCGGTCAGTGACGGACTCTAATAATCACCTGCGCGTAATCAATCTACCGATTGTAAAAAATACTATTTGTTCAGAAAATTTCGAATTTTTCCGCTCCTGCATGCCGTTCCCTATTTTTCATGGCAAAGGCTATCAGAAATATAGATAGATAGATAATTTTTATTAAAGACCCGTCGGGGTCCCATCAAAGCAAGTTAAAATAAATTTGCATGCGAGTTTTAGACGAGGTAGGCCGAATCTTTACAAAATGCAATTCCTAGTTTCTGAATTAGAAGTCCATTGAGAAACATGATGATTGAGGTGTGAAAAAAAACTCCTTACAAAAAGTTAAAAATGATTGGATTAATTTCACAGGAGAAAAAAAACCCCTCCATAAAAATAATAACAGAAAAAAGCGAGCAGGACTGGCCTGTAGGTGGCGGTATATAAGGGAATGTTGTCGGTCATCATCAGGGTAGCAATAAATGTCAGCCTTGATGGGTACGAATGTGGGTCAGACAGGACTGGCTTGCAAATGGCATTGTATACGGGATTCACAATTGAGATCGTCTGGGCCGGATTGGTACGCCGCGTCAAAGAGGCCAGACGAGAGGAACCGAGATGCGTTCGGCCACAGCACGCTTCGAGCTAAGCCGAGCAGTGAGGAAGGGAGGTACGACCGAAGTACTAGTAGACGCTGAATACTGAGGGTTCCGCCGTGAGCGTCGACAGACCGCATGAGGTCGGAATGCGGGAGATGACATCAAACACCGCGAAAATTTTCGTTATGGGGGGGGGGAGGATAGCAATGGATTTAGAAACCAATTCAAAACAGGGGTTTCTAATGACATAATTAGGAGTTACCACTTAATCTACCACTAAATCCCAGGAGGACCCTTCTCGAAGTCAAGAATCTGAGTGTTCGAGAATGAGACCGTTAACAGTGCCTTTATGCTTTCCGGTGTAAGATGGTTGCGTAATTTCGACTTGAATAGCAGTAACTTAGGCGATAATCTAATTTCAGGCGGAAGATTATTCCAAAGGAAGGCATATTTGGAAGCAAAGAAGAGGGAGCGCTTAGATGTAGTACAAAGAGGCGGCGGAATCACCATGCAGGAGTTGCACGTTGCATAAGACCGATCTGTCGGAGTGAGAGTGTCAATGTGCGGAAGACTGGAGCTAGAGTGGATGCGAAAAAGGAAGCAAAGGCCAGCTTCGAGTCTTCTAACCCAAAAAAACTTAATGTTCGCCAGCTGACATCTCTGAGTATAAGAAATACCGGACGAAACTTGAGAGAACAGTTTCCGGGTGAAAACCCTCTGAACATTTTCGATTTTATTACGCTCGCAGGCGTTCATTAAACCGAAGAAAGGACAGCAATATTCGAGGACTGGAAGAACGAACATTTGATATAGTCTTAGCTTCATTTCCGGAAGGAAAAAATTATGCGATATGAATCCAAATATCTGCGCGGCTTTGGCAGAGATTCTATCTGCATGAGGTGATAAACCAAGTTTGTTTGTATAACTTAGACCTAGGTCCTTTATGGTGAGGCATTCTGAGAGTGGGTTATTCTGGAAAATTATGGGACCAGGAAGTTCAGCAGCACCAAAAGACATGAAACTACACTTGGATGATGAAAACTCCATCTGCCATGTCGAACCCCATCTGCTTAAGCGTAGTAAATCGGCATTAATTTTTTCAACACAAACATTTGCGGTGTCCTTAGAGTATGAGTAAACACACTTGAGGTCATCGGCATAAGTAAAAGTTTGCGAATTTGCGAGTTCAGTCGAAATATCATTGATGTACAGAAGGAAGAGTAGCGGACCCAGATCCGTGCCTTGAAGTACGCCACTCGTGATCGAGTGGGGTGTCGAGTAGCTTTTACCGACCATGACTTTCTGATATCGGTTGGACAGATAGGACCGGATGAAGTCGAGTAGAGGCGGCCGGATGCCGAGAGCTTCCAATTTTACTAAAAGACGTCTATGGGGCACCTTGTCAAAGGCTTTGCTAAGATCAAAGTAAATAACTACCACTGACTGCCGCTCATTACGAAGAGAGGTGATTTGATTAAGAAAAGCCAAGTGGCATGTTTCGCAGGATCGTTCAGGTAAAAATCCATGCTGACTAGAGCTCAGAAGCCGATTAGCTAGACAGAAATCAAGAATTTCATTGAAAATAATCCTTTCAAGAAGTTTTGATAGAGACGGCGTTTTGTGCAGGCCCCGATAGTTATTAACATCGGACCGAGATCCTGACTTGAAAACGGGAATGATAATTGACGTTTTCCATGTTTCAGGAAAGAATCCATTTGAAATATAAACAGAGAATAAATGACTAAGCAATATGGGAAGGTCGGGCGCTTGTTTAATAATCGAATTCGTAATCCCGTCCGTTCCTGAGCAGTGTGAGTATTTCAAAGGGCTTATGTGTTTCTTAATGAGATCTGAGGAGACATCAATTGTACTCAGTGTCCTATCTGAAAGTGATAGAAAGAAAGGGACCGGATCGGACTCGGTAGCAAGGTGTTTTGCAAAGAAAGCACTAAACAACTCCGCCTTGTCAGTGTCATCGGTGAGGAAGACTTTGTTATCATTTAGCATGGGTGCAAGTTCATGACCACGCTTAGAGGAGGACCGATGACGGAAGATGTTGGCGACGGATTTGCCAGGGTTCGAATCACTGAGAGCAATTGATTCTCTTTGCCTGTCGCGCGCTTGGCGCATCCTTGAGGCCATCTCAAAAATCTCTGTGATTCTAAGATGAAATGATAAGGAACTAGTGGATAGGTCACGCAGCTGCCGCCTCAACTTTTTTAGTCTGTTCTGAAGAAAATGAGGAACAAGGGAATCTGAAGAATTAGGCTTCAGATATCTACGCGGCACAAACTCTAGAATGTCCTTGGAAACATTGGACATGACATCACGAAGAATGGTTGCATCGCTACAAGTGAGGAAGCCACACCAATCCAAGGATCTCATATAGTTATTTATTAAGTCGCTAACTACGCAGTCGTAGTTCATGAAAGTCTGAACGGCGCTTGTCTTTTTTGAAAAGGCAAGCGGTAGGCAACAATGAATTAATACGTGGTCACTGTCAAAGAGGTCCTTTTTTAAAGCAACAGAAAGAGGAGCAATGTCATTGGTAAAGATTAGATCTAAAATGTGATTATCTCTTGTTGGAGAGCGCACCAGTTGGGACCAATTAGAAAAATTGACAATATCTTGAAAGGGCTGGAATCTGGGTGGGCAGCTATTGGAAACCCAGTCTATTTCACGAAGGTTAAAATCCCCAGTGATTATTTTAACATCGAAAGCAGCTTCCAAAATTAATTTAAAAATTTCACAGAGTTGAGAGTCATCACTGGCTAAAGAATTTGGGGGATTGTAGATACAGCCAATAATTGCCTTTCTTTGCGGCGAGAGAATAACAGATGCAAAGCAGAAGTTTCCCGTGAATGAGGAAACATCCAAGTAATAGGGAGAGTGCTTTAGGTAGGATTTAAAGATAAAGGTAAAGAAGACAACCACCCCCACGCCTAGTCGTGCGGTCTTGGCGGTAAAAATCGAAGTCATCTATGAGAAGGGCAGAGTCAGGAATTAGAGGATGTGTCCAAGATTCTGTTACGCATATAATATCAGGCGTCATTTCCAGAGCAATGGCTCTGATTTGGGCCATCTTGTTTATAACAGACCTAGCATTCAATAGTATAATATCTAATGTGTTTCGAACGGCAATGCTATTTTCGACGGTATTTAAAAAAATTTGGAGCCGGATATGTAAGCTGCGAATTAATGACACTTGGAGAATAAGTGTAATTAATCCTCCACTGGACTCGATTAACCACCTATTACCGGCACCGAAGAACCCTGCGCTCCACCTTTACATATTGTAAAGGCCGCAGGAAACGATGGTGACTCAAAGATTAAATGGAAGTGGCAGACAGTGACGGTCACCCTATCAAACGGAACAAAACGAAACAACGAAAACGAACTTATTATAGCAGTTTTATGACCCAGACGATATGCACACCAACGAAAAGAATATGGACGGAGATGAAGTCATTACTTACACCCTCGAAATACTGACGAATTTAAATTCTATGTGATCCGTTCGCACAAAATAAACAAACAGTCAATACGTCTTAGGAAACCCTTGAAAAGCAGTCGTAAAGCATCACAACAAAAAAAACTTAAAAACTTACCATATAAACGCCCATCAATCTGGTATACCGAAGTAGGGGGTCCCGTGCTGGTCATAACCAAACCAGTCATGTGTGACAGTAGAGCAAAGGCGAAAAGGTGCTCATAATAGATGTGCGTGACAGGCAAAGCACAATCGACCCAGTAACGGGCGCGTCGAAAATGATGTTTACGCCCTTGTTGCGCCTTGCTGCTGAACGTCGCGACGAGCCAATGCATCGTTAGGCCTCTTCGGAGCGCCAAATGACCCACACCGTACCAACTATGGAGACTACTCGTCCCTCAGTAGGTCTTGTCAGTTCACCGAGGAAGTTCAGCATGCGGACAAACACCACATCTTTACCACGGGGCAACTTGTTCTCGCTCATTCGCGTCGTCTCGATCCCGAAAGACTTTGGATAGCCAAGAACAAATTTGGGCATATGATGAATTTGGGAATTATTCGTCCTTCCTCCAGTCCGTGGGTTTATCCACTCGGCATTGTGTCCAGGAAACCGGCCGATGATTGGAGACAGTGTGGCGACTATCGCGCCTTAACAGAACTACCGTTTCAGATCGATATCCCTTTCCTCAAATCCATGACTTTTCTCACATACTGGCAGAAAAAAATTTTCAAGTTAGACCTAATGAGAGTGTACCACCAGATACTGGTCGCGGAACAGGACATCCCCAGGACCGCCATTACGACACCCTTCGGCCCGTTCAAATTCTTTTGTGTGCATTTTGGTTTGCGCAGCGCAGCCCAAGCATTGCAGCATTTCATCGATCAGATCTTGGAGGCTCTGTCATTTACGTCTGTCTACATCGATGACGTACTCGCCGCATGCTATTTGGCAAAGGAACATGCCCCACACTTGCGCTAAATACTTGATCGTCTCTAGCAATATTTTTGCAATTAAACATCGACAAACTTCTCTTTGGCGTCACTTTTGTCGATCTCCTTGGCCGCCACTTCAACCGGCATGGAGTCCCACTGCCTCCAGAGACGGTAGAGAGCATCGTATCTTTTCCTGCTCCCAGGCACTTCTGTAGCAGCCGATCCAGCCCTCCTTTTCTCCGGCTCCGTTTTGTCGGTCGATGACCGCGATAAGCGCTGACAGGCCGCTGACGCACGACCACCCCCGCCGACTCGTCGACTGCAGCACCAACCTTCATGCCCGTTGTCAACCCGATGTGAACCCCTGCGTCAGCCCTCTTACTGTTATGCCCATTTCTGACTGTCCTTTCCACTCACTCCTCAGGCAGTTTCCCCGCCTGACCAACCCCTCATTTCGAGAAGTGGACATCAAGCACACAGTCACCCACCATATTTCCACCACCGGACCTCCCAAATCTGGCCGACCACGTCGTCTTGCTCCGGACCGTTTGAAGATTGCCAAGGCAGAGTTCGAACACATGCTCGAGCTCGGCATCATCCGACAGTCCGACAGCTGCTGGGCATCACCCCTCCACCTTGTCCCCAAGAAGAATGGCGACTGGCGACCGTGTGGTGACTATCGGGCGTTGAACTCTGTGACTGTCCCCGATCAGTATCCCGTCCCGCACATCCAAGACTTCACCCTTTCGCTACATGGTAAGCGAATATTCTCTAAGATCGACCTTGTGCGCGCCTACCATCAAATCCCGATCGAAGCCAGTGATGTTCCGAAAACTGCAGTGACCACTCCCTTTGGGTTATTCGAATTCACTCGCATGCCCTTTGGTCTGAGGAACGCCACTCAAACCTTTCAGCGATTCATTGATCAGGTTCTGCGAGGTCTCGACGTCGTCTACGCCTACATTGATGATTTGCTAGTGGCTAGTTCTGACGCTGCTGAACACGAGATTCATCTTCGACAGCTCTTCGAACGGCTCGACTCCTACGGCGTTATCATCAATGCCGCCAAATGTGAGTTCGGAGTCCCCAGTTTAACTTTCTTGGGTCACGTAGTAGATTCTGAGGGAATCAAGCCTGTCCCTGATAAAGTTTCGGCCATATCAGCGTTCCCCGTCCCGACAACCATCAGCCAACTACGCCGATTCTTGGGGATGGTGAACTACTATCACCGTTTTCTTCCCCATGGTGCCACCATTCTGCAGCCACTCAACAGCCTTTTGACCCACTCCAAGAAGACACTGGTGATGACCGAGGAGGCCGTCAAGTCCTTCAATGACGTCAAGGCCGCACTTGCGAGCGCAACACTACTAGCCCACCCCCGCGCTGATGCCCAACTAACTCTCATGACAGATGCTTCCAGCACTGCCGTTGGTGCATCACTGCAGCAAACTGTTGGTGGTGTTCTACAACCTCTGGCTTTCTTCTCGAAGAAGCTAAGCCCTGCGGAGACCCGCTACAGTGTCTTCGGCCGAGAACTGCTCGCCGTCTACCTATCCATTCGGCACTTTCGCCATTTCCTCGAGGGTCGTGAATTTGTTGTTCTCACAGATCACAAGCCACTCGTTTTTGCACTGAGGGCCTCTCCCGATCGATACTCGCCCCGTGAAATCCGTCATCTTGACTTCATCTCACAGTTCTCCTGCGACATCCAACATGTCCACGGTAAGGAAAATGTGGTGGCTGATGCTCTTTCAAGAATCGAGATGGCTTCCATCACAA